ACCTTCCTTGAGTCCTGAATGCAATTTTTGGTCAAATAACTCTGCAATCCTATGCAGAAAAATCTATTGAACTCAATGGCAGGTTGTAGCATAATTCAGAAATTCAATTGACTTCATTGGACCATGCATCTTTTCTGATGGAACCTGTTTGATTGACCTATAAAAATTCATCTGTACAAAGTGCACACACAGACATTTAGAAGTGCTCTATCACTTTGGTGTATCTTCTCTTCCCCTCTCTATCCCTCCTCTATTCCTGTTTTACTTGAGAATGAATCATTCACAAAATCACAAGTATTTATCTCTTAACTGCTTTACAGACTCCTGGAAGAAATGGAGAACAAGGTGATACTGCATCATGTAGGAGGGTTTTTCAGTATCATTAAAATACCCAGGAGTTCACCTGTTGTGAAATGAATCACTCGGAAATAGATACTGAGCATTCTCAAAGCTTAATCTTGGGACTATCATGTTTTTAATTAGGAAAGGATTGCTGAAATATAATCCAATAAAATGCCAAATCTAATGCTAAGTGAAGTAAAACCAATTCAATGACACAAAAGAAAACTTTTTAGAGTGATTGTATTCTTTAAAACTACATGCAATATCTTCACCTATTACCCAGGATAATTAAGGATAGCTATATAACTTGAGTATATACTCTGCATTGTACTAGAATTTTTACAAGACTTAGTCCATAACCATTTTGCTCTATGTATTAAATGAGAATACCTTGAAAACAAAGCGTGCTGAGTATAAAGAAACAAAGTGGATATTTTGAATGCACAGTTGTGCACATCATTCATACAATGCATATTTCCAGAAGCTCTTCTTTATATACAGGAGTTATTTAGGTTGGTCAAAATAACTTTCCAGCCTCCACCAGTATACCTCCTCCTTCCCCCATATTCTAGCAATTATATTGCGATTAGCTCCTTCCTGCCCCTCTCTCTTATCAACATCCAGTCAGCTCCTAAGATGCATAATATGGCCCAATTATCTGAAGCAGTGTCTCCTTCCTAACCATTCCTAACCTCTTTCTAATCATAAGAAGCCATCCTTAGAGTTTCATTACTGGGACGGCTTCCTAGGTGTTCTGAGAACAGTTTTCAGTGGTTTTAGATCTTGGACCTTTTCAAAATGTTCCTTTTTTCTGTTCTGTTTCTGTGATGATGAAGGTTCAGTGTTGCTTAGGTGCCGGTGAGGCCTTGGATGCAGAGTTCACCTATGGATTAATTTTTTTTCAGCATGGTCAGGTTTCAGGAACAGGACAACGCCATGAAAACATCCAGGTGGTGCTGAGGTTGGAAGCCAGACAAACAGCTTGCTCCAACAAGGACCATAGCAAGACTGAGGCTTAGAAAGAGTGTAGCTGTTTTTAGGTTATTTGATCACACTTCCGTAATATCTGTCACTCAGTCTTGTAAAAGGACCTGTTTAACAATCACAGGCTGAAACAATGCAGGAGTGGCTCAGATTCTTCTTTGTGATTTCCACATATCCCTCTGCATGTTTTGTACTTCAGTTTTCTCTTTCTGTGGCATGGGTTGATGCCTTTTTGGGATCCAAAGAGTGCTCTGACTCTGATGGCAAGCTGGTCCCACCTCTGCAGCTCTTCTCTTTGCCCCACCTTCAGGTTGACCACCAACCTCCTTGGACTATATGCTTTCCAGCCCCAGGTCCAAATATTTTTATTTGCTTGGCCTTTAAAATGAATTGTATTGCTTGCTAGTTGACTGGGTATTTGCCTCTCCGTTGTATTCTAGCAATGCTTTCATTTTTATTGTTGTTTTAATATAATAATATTGTATTTGAACTGAAATCTTATCTATACCGCTCTAGAATTCCTTCATGAACAAAGCATGGTTCAGGATGTTACAACATGAATAAATATTGATGAAAAATATCAATATTTATCCTGTGTATCCTTAGCCCATTGTTAGTCATTCCGTAGAGTTTACTATTATAAGGGATATTGGGAATGTTATTCTTCCCAGTTCCCTGCTATGCACACTGTTCATGCGGCATAATGATCTATGGCTAAGTCAGATTTGATATGTTCCGTATGAAAAGAAATTACTTATGGTTATGCAGGAAATGAAGAAGAGATAAAGATTGGTTGAATCTTGAACTTTTCCCAGTCCTTCCTCACTTAGTCTAGTGATTGTAATTATGGTTATGGTTGTTTCATATTCAAATTCTAAGATATAGTCACTTTAAAAGAATGAGAGCATTTATTGTTCTTATTTAATCTTTTTAAAAAAGTGATGTATGATTAAAATATAGTTATTTCAACTATAAAGCTTTTGTTACTAGGTTAAATTTTGGTATTTTCTATTAGCTGGTAAAGCTAATTGAAAATGTTTTTAGAATAAACACATTTCAGCTAATGTGTTGCAGATAAAATAGAAAGTAAACAAAAATCATAAATCATAAAATGTTTAAGTGGTGGCTATGTGCTCTTCCAGGCTAATTTTTCCATCTGAGGAGGTTCTTTATTTTACACAACTGTGATGTATTACTTTCTTAAAACACAGGCCCACTGCTGCGTTTTTGGTTGCTTGCCCAGGTTTCTCTGTCCCTTGCCCTCCATTGCTTAGCAACCACATACTATCACAAAGAAACTGATACTAAGTTAGAACAGGCTCCTCTTGGTAATTTAATGGGAAGATTAGACTTACAAGGGAAAGCATTCTGTTTTTTGCTTTCTATCAGTGTAACTTGGCTTCCTGGAACAGACCACCGGACTCCCTTCTTTGTGCTTTCCCTTAAAAGGTAACTACAACCCTGCTCCAGAAGTGATCATTTAAAAATGGCATTTTCTTCCTAGTGTTGTATTGCAGTGAGACTAAGAAGGGGTGGTACTTACCTAGTAAGTGATAGAAATAATTTCCCCTTTTGCCATGGTATCTTTGAGTTAGCTTACAAACACGAGAGCTTGTAGCTCATTACCAGAGCACACGACAGAGCATATTTTTGTCATGCCTTCCCTTACTTGCCTTTTTCCTAAGCTAAACAAACCCAGATGTTGTAACCTTTCCCTGACCAGGAATTGCTAGAACGCTTTGATCATTTTAGTTGCCCTTTGCTGCACTTTTTCCAACTCTACAATTTTGGGTAGATAAAAGTATTCATTCAGCTTCCCCCCAAACTGGTATTCCCCAGGTGTGTTGGACTGCAACACCAGTGCTATTTGGGGATGATGGGATTTGTGGGCCATTTATCTAGAGATTGTCAGGTTGGGGAAGTCTGAATTAATTCATTCACAGAGACAGATGTATGATTTCCACTGTGGAAATCTCTGATGGTCAAACCTTTTGGCAAGTGTGCCACAAGTAAACATATATCCATATTTCTAATTTTAATCTTTTTAAATACTTGCCTGTGAGGGATCAGCCCCACTAATCTCCCCTAGCATCACCAGTTTTTCCTACACACAGCCAGGTTCCCAGACCAGTGGAGATGGCACAGACAGATGGTGCTTGATCATCAGCTTGACAGATGATGTCATGATGCCTTGAGCCAATGATGTCACCAGCCTTTGCTTGTTTGCAGCTTGCTCCATCAACCCAAATGAGTGACTCCTGAAGTAGGGTGGCAGTGAAGGGGAACAAGGGAAAGGAGGAGAAAATGGGGTGGGCGAGCAGAGAGGTGTGTAGTGGAGGGGAAAGAGAGGATGCCCAGGAGAAACAATGATGGAGGGGGAAGACTTTGGGAAAGACCAGGAGAAGTCCAGGGCAGCTCTTGGCTGGGGAAGAGAGTCAAGTTTCTGGCTGTTTAGGAGCAGGCTTACCAAGACCCTGCTTCCTTGTGGGAAAAAGGGCTTTTCACCCTCCCTTCATTAATCCTAACTTGGACTGACTGAGCAACCCATATGTTCTTCTTCTAGGATAAAGTAGCTTGGACAGAAGGTGATGTTAGAGAGGAAGCCACAATAGGAATTGTCTGAGAAGCAGTTGGCACCTCTGGCTTGGGGCAGATTCCTTCCTCAGACTTTGCTTTGGGCAACGATTATTTCCCAGGAAAGGGAAGATACATTCTGTGATGTTACAGCCTATTCAGTTCTTGTTTATGAAGGGCAAATATCCTTTGTGTTCTTGTTTAAGCACACTTTTAGGTCCATGTATCTAGAATATAAATTAAGTCATATCACACACTCTGCGTATGTGGCTTACATGCTTGACAGAGTCTTGCAACCAAAGACTTGGGCCAACTATGATACTATGGCACTCTTAGAGCATCTCAGGATGGGCAACTTGGTGGCCTCCAGGTATCTAGGTCATCATATTGCTCCCCATTTGCTCTGCTCATTTGGTCGCTAAGAAGTGTAGACCTATACATCTGGAGAACCATAAGTTGTCCATCCTTGCCATTGAGGGTATGGTATATGCTTTTGGGTGGTCCAAAGTGTACTGTGAGTTCACATTTCCATTTCCATGTCCATTTCTGCATAAATTAGGTCTTACCCGAGGATGTGGCATCTCCTAGATGCCACTCTTTTTTACATTTGGGTATATGATTTGGAAGGCCCAAAACTCACTGAGGGCTGCACACTGCAGTTCCTTATTTATGCATATATTTGGCTATTAGGGATATGAGCCTACATCATTAATATTGTAGTGGTCCCAGACAGAGCTTTGTGAATAATGCAATGGTATTCCATAATGTAAGACAGGAATAGTCTATTCACATTCATCCTAAGTAACTTTCCCACAAGTTTAAGCTGGAAAATGGACCACCTATACATCATGCAGCCCAGTGGGTATTGTCTGTTCATTTGTCTACACTCTAGCTGATCAGAGTGTATAGCAAGGTTAACGTGACATAACTTGATTTAGAACAGCATTAACTCAAGCTGACCCAGAAAATGGCCCAAGGCAGCTGGAGTCCAGTTAAGGGAATGGGATCCACTCTCTGATAAATTGTTTGTAGATTTGTTACATGGATGCTGCAGTGATGTAGAGCTGTGTTTGTACATAACAGCCATTTTTCCTTCACAGAGTGTTGACAGTTCAAACTTGTCCATAATAATTCAGAACAAGAAGTGCTTCGATAATGATATTGTTTGTTCAAAGAATGTTTTTATTTCTGTTGGAGAAGTTGAGATTTTTTTAAGCGAACCTCTAAATGTACAGGTAAGTACTGGTTTTCCTTTTTTAACTCACCTTTTATTCACTGAACTACATGATGGATGGAGATGATGGGAATTGTAGTCCAATGGATCTGAATGGTACCAGGCTGGGGAAGGGCACTGAAACAATTAAGAAGTCCAATATTCTCTGCTTTTTCTGTTTTCTATGGTCCCTGCTGCCATTGACCTGCAGTCTGGACATCAGCATTCTACTGGATACACAAAACTTCCCTGGAGACAAGGAAATTTTTCCTCTTTTGGTTTCCATTCATGGGATTCTGAGGGAAGAATACCAGTCCACCATATTCAAAATCACATTTAGTAAAAAGAAAAAAAGCTTAAAAGGGAAATTATGGTGGTCATGAACCTAGGAGAATCAAGCTTATGTCAAGATAGTGCTACCATACTCCTACATGTAAAGAATTGTCCACAAATGCCTGAAGGAATTGCTTTTGTGTTTTGGTGATAGAAAAAGCTACATTTTCAAAAAATTTACTGAAAAGTAGCTCTTAAAGGAGCATGAATAACCCACCAGGAAGGATTTGACAATCCTTTTTCACTATAACTTTTGATGTGATTAAATAATTTTACTGCATCAGAATATTTCACTTAAAAGCACCCTCAGATGCTGAAACCTGTCTAATACAACCTTAGTTTTCAGTGGGCCTCCCTCATATTGGCCATAACCCAGAAGACTACTTGCACATGTACCCAAAATGTATGTGATACCTGCATGCTCTATCACAGGAAGCTCTTGAAACTTTCCTGACTGTTCAGTGTTTTGCTGTGTTCTGACACTAGGCCAGCCTTCCTCAGCCTTGTGCCCTCCATATGTTTTCGACTACAATTCCCAATGGCCTTGAGCATTCCCCGTGCTGATTGAGGAGGTGCTAGGCTATCAGGTTGAGACATGGCTTTACTTCTGAAGAAACCCAGGACCAAAGTGGGTTTGGTCTGGGCATGCCTAGCAGGTCATGTGGCTACCTGGACTGTGTTTATGGTAAGCCTGAAGTTTTCAGGATGTATTGAAACATAGTGTTCATCCCACATGAAAATGATTATGAAGGTTGGGCCTAATGTAGACTTGAAACCCAACATGAACTGGGTTTGAAGGTAGGCAACATGGTGCCCTATGAGGGCCTTCAGCTGCCTTTCTAACAATTTAGAATTGTTTCAAAGCAAAGTGAGGGCCTTTCACTTTCCATGAATGACTCTGGGTGCTGTGTGAGGCTCTGAGATAGTTGTAATAAATGAAGATGGTTGCTGGCTGTGGGCTGATTCTTTCTTCTGTAGGGATTCAGTCATTGGATGTAGTTGATGTACATCCAATGCAAAATAGGAGGAGTGGCAGAGATGCTCTCCGCTTCCCTCTCTTTTTGCTGTGCATTTTTGCAAGATGTGCTTTTGTGTCCATTAACTGAGATACTTCAGAAGGAAGGAGACTGGAGTGGCTTCATTCTGGCACCCCAGTTTTTGCCCTTCCTCTGAACTCACCCCTTTTATCTATTCCTGAAGTCACTGTTCTGACTTCAGAACACAGCTGGTGGAGTTCTTTCCATGCCAGCTGCAAGGAAGCAAATAGCAGAGCTCCGATTCACAGCTGTGAGAGCTGTTTCTGACTTGGAGATGGGATTCTGAAAAATCCTGTAGCTCCTCAGCCACAGAATCATTCCTTCTCACTGCCAGCTTCTCAGGACATTGTCTGAATATAAGGATATCCCATACTTTGGCTTGGAAAGATAGTGTCCCTCAAATTCCAAATAATATTATTGCCGCTGATATATTATTCAGATCCTGGTTTGGTATCAAGTGAGTGGTTTGATGTGTATATTGTTGAATGTGTGTGTCTATAGACTGAATACATTATTCAGATCTTGTTTTGGATCTGGTTTGGTATTTTCACCAATTGGTCATAGATTGCATATTATCAAAGCGGTGTTAGTGATCTTTTACAAATTTCAATTTTTTTACAGAAAATGCTGAGGAGATATGAAGACAAAGCACAGTATCAGATTTGGAAGGCTGGATATTACACCGCAGTGCATTTTCCAGAGCAGGAGATAACAATACTATGGGATAGAAAGACAACAATGCATGTCAAAGTTGGAGCTCAGTGGAAGGTGACTAGGTGTATTATGCCACTGGATATACATACAAATTGGTAGTTGGGTATTTTACAAATGGGGAAGGCGAAATATTCATAAAGCACACTAATAAAGCTCTGACTAGCATCTGATAACACAGCATGTTTATGTTAAATTCTAAGAGCTACTGAGGTGTGGTTGTTAGAATGATAGACTGGAGATCTGAGTTCTAGTCCCCACTAGACCATGGAGTTTACTGGGTGACTTTGGGCCCATCACTGACTGTCAGCCTATCCTACCTCACAACACTGTTGTGAGGATCAGAGAGAGAGAAGAAAGAAACCCATGTAAGCTGCCTTGGACTTCTTTTAAGAAAAAGAAAGATGGGATATCAATGTTATAATCAAGATGGTGTTTTCATAATGTGGGAGCTGATAGTAACATTCGTCTATGTTTTCAAAGTAGTCCTCATAAACAAGAATTTCACGAGGAAGGGATCAAATTAATAGCTACATTAATTATATAGGCTGAAAAAATATCAAAAAAGGAAAAAGGGTGACTGCAAGAAAATATGAGCTCTACTTTCTCATTGCAAATTGAGAAAGAGAAGAATTCTCTTAGATTAAAGCATCTCTTCTATTTTGGCTGGAGATGACCCTTCACCTGCTCACTGGCATAGGTGAGCAGTACTTTTCTTATGCCCTCCTGTAGTAAGAAGAGGTGCTGGATCATCTGATGAGAAGGAACATTTCTTACACAGGCAAACCAACTTCAGATATTATCTCTCAAATGAGAGCATTTTAGTGAATCACAATTTGGTATAATGGACATCAAATGAAGAAATCTTAAAATGTACCCACATAGTTTGACCTAAGAAGGTGTCCTATCATGCAGTACGGAGGTACATTCTGGGCTCACATTCCCTGGGAATGTACTGCTTTAGTAATAAACACTTTCATGTTTAAACTATCTGAATCTTTCCCATCTCTTATTATCAATGACTTTGCTGTTCTGAGAATGGAGCTGTACATGCATGGGTATTGTGGGTTTTGTGTGAGAAAGCCCTATTCAGACAGCATGTGAGGGATTCTATGAGTGAAATATAGCCAGTTAAACAGGAAGATGGTCTTCTCCAAATGTGTTCATTTCCCAATGTATAGCCATTTTTTAATGTGAGGGACCATTTCAAGATGCAGTCCCTACCCACCTGTAGCCCATACCATGTGATAATTCTGCAAGTTATCATTTGGCTTAAGTTGAAAGTTTGGTAAGAGATGTTCCAAGTTCAATCCTCTAAAGAGCATCTTCTCTGTGTATTAACAATTGATATGAATAATGATGTGAGTAGCAACAGAACAGGTCTTTTCAGCATGCATGTTGAATAACACAGAACTTATATGTCCAATTATATCAGTGATCAGGGCACAGGCAGTGACCTTAGAGATGTGTAAAAACAAACCTACTCTATGCTGTCTAGCCAGATATCAGTTGATCTAGGATCACATGTAAGGGAAGCTAATTTTGCCACTTTTCAGTACGAACTGACTATTCACAGCTCTGTTTGGTGGCTGCTTCTGGTGTCACAAACCAACTTGCCCTCCCATCTCCTAAGTGATTTTACAGGCTTTTAAAAGGCCTGTGTTTGTGTGTAGGTAGATGGAGGGACGGCTCAGATGTTATGAAGTTGTAAGGATGAAGGGAAATAGTTGTAAGGATACATGGAAGCCCTGTCACATGCCTCAACCTGACAAGGCAGGGCTCCCACTCATCCAGAGCTTGATAATTCCTCTCATGCAAAAATGCTCACACTTTCATTGCAGACCTTCCTGCCGACTCCAGTTGATTCCAAGTAAAGCTGGAGCACATGACCTTATTCCCCATCACACAGATTCTGGGCACCCTATTAGCAGTGAAACACCTGGGTAGGGCTAGTTTTGTATGCATTGGAAAACTCAAAGATGATATCAAAGGGAAAGGTTTCTAAGTGTAGCATTTTACAGTTGCAATATCCCGTGAGTTTTTCACCCTTTCAGCAGGAATGGGAAGCTGTGGCCTTCCAGAAGTTGTTGAATTACAACTCCCATCATGCAAGGCTAAGTGGGGTTGATCAGACCATGAATCTGAGAACCACAGGTCCCTTGCCTACATCCTAGATTGTCTGGCTGGAACAACAGCTGAGGTTATGGCAGAAGAGAAACTTGGGGGCCTCAATCCACATGGTGGGGAAAGGGATATCATGTTGGACAGAAGGTATCAGGTTTTACCACATTTTTGACAACTTTGATTCATGAATCAATCTTCCCTTGAAAATTGAATCCTTTACAAAAGGATAATGGGATAAGAAAACATGTAAATGAACAAACATTCATGTTGAGGGTTTTTTTTTTAATGGTGGGGAATAAAGGCAGTTGGTCAACCTAAAAACAGGGTGAGGGAAGCAAGTCAGGAGGCAGTTTAAATTACTGACAATTTTCTTTTGTATAAGCTTTGTCATCATCCAGAACTGTATTTTGTTTATTTAAATAAAATAATGCACATATAGATACAAAAGCATCCATTATAATTTCAGGGTAAATTGGCAGGTTTGTGTGGAAATTTTGATAAATTCACTTCGAATGATCTGACTACATCCAACAACATGGAAGTAAGGAATGCTCAAGTGTTTGGAGAGAGCTGGGCAATAGGTCAGGTAAGTGTGACATGTTGATTCCATTGTATTCCAAAATAAATATGTATTCATGGGTATGTATCAGCTATGATGAGATGTATTATAGTTCTGTTTAATTACAGGCATAAGTGATCATAAATTAGCGTATACACATTTGTGTCCTCTTTTGAGGTGATGCCTTCCCACTTTGTTTTGTTTTGTTTTTGATACTAAGCAATTGACTGGGAAGTGAATAGGTCTTATTCACATTGAGAAATGTGGCCCTCTGACATATCCAATGGTAAGACATGGTGGCAGCTGCCATTCAACCACATGTGGATAACCAGATACTCCCCTTCCCCATCCTAGAAAGTTTTCTATTCCATTGGCATGACTAGAGATGAATGCTTCTAAGAGTTTTTCTGAATACATTACACTAATTCAAGAGGATTGTGCTCTGTTTTGTGCTTAGCATGCCATGGGTCAAGCAAATGTAAAGACAAAAGTTTGAAATGTATTCCTTGTTTTGGTTTTCCTGCCAAACTGTCGGTGCAGTTGAATCTCCCCTTCAGCTGAAGCCTTTAGTTGCTTGTAACAGTCCCTCCTTCATCTTCTGCTGACGTTCAAAAGTGTCATGACCTTCCCTGCTTCTGTTCCTTTGCTGCAATATCAAATTACAAATGCTTTGTAATTTTCCATCCTCTGCTTGTTCTAAGTATCTTTCTGCTGCTTCACACAAGACTGTTTCTGACATGGATACCCCTAATGTAGTACAACTGTGTATTCATTTTGTGGGTTTTATAGACTCTGGCAAGGCTTCTCATGCCTGTTTTAATATATTTATGGACAACTGGAAAGAGCAATCTGCTTATCTGTGTAAATATAGTGAAATAGACACACAGGCTTTTGCGACACTTTCTTGTGTTCTGGCAGTGCACCATGCCTATACTTTTAGCATACAAATTTGCTGTGTGCCTCTTTTTATGTGTAATTCCCCCATCCTGTCCATTTTTTCTATAAAAGGCTTGGAACTTAATAACAACACATGCCATTATCATCAGAGCACTAATGTTTAGCAAAATGATACAGTAGCTAAACTGTTCTGTTTATGATTTACATTTGGCTCCTCTGGAAACACAGATGAAATGTGGTAATGAATGCATTTGATTTTCATGCCAAAACAAAAAGAGGCATGAAGAAATATGTTTGTTTTAAAGGCAGACCAATCAGCAATTATCCTTTCCAGTTAAATTTTTAAGTTGTAGGAAAAGTATAAGGCAGGCTTTGAAGTAAAGTAAAGAGTAAAGTAAAGTATAGAGTGTAAAGTAACTTAAAGAACGTCATCTCATGCTTTTGCTTTGTTTTCACTGTTGTGGTTTGTGGACACTTTCAAAGGTGTTTGCTAGGAGAAAAAAAGCGTAAGCAATGTTGTTATTTATGGCTATATTTGGTTTTCTGTAAATCAGTGCACAAGCCCCAATGAGACCATTAAACCATGTGAAGTACACCAGAGCAAGTTCCCCTATGCCAAAAAGGAATGCTCAATTTTGTACAGCGATGTCTTTGCCCCTTGTCGCAATGTGGTAAGTGAATGCTTAATTTGTTACCTTGATCTTTGATTGCCAGATATTTGAAAAGCTGCCATTTATTTATTTTATCCTGTTTCCAGGCACCCAATAGATGAAGCTCAGTTAGGACTATTCTTAAGACTAACACCTGGTTAATACCATAAGTGACGGTCTGTCTTAGTGCTGTTGAGGCATCTACCAGGCCACGTATCATCTTCTTAGCAGATGCTGAAGGGGAAACAGTTCTAGGCTGTTGCTGCACATCCTCTGCTTAATTCCTTTCATCTGGGCATCAGTCTTTGGTAGACTATACCTAAGGACTTTGGCCTCCTTTCAGGAGCAACACACACAACAGACTCCAAGACTGTTTACTGAAAGGACCCGTTAAAATGTTTGTTATTCCTTTTTGAAATGTCTCTGCCATTTTACTTCCTTAGCAGCATGCACCTGTCCTTTGTTCAATGCCTTATCGCAGTAGCTTTGGCTATAAAACTGGAAGAAAATTACTTGAAAGACCACATTCTCCCAAGTGAACCTGCCTGGGTCTTAAGAGCTCTGACCTCCTTCTTTCAGAAGTACATTTAATGGGAACACAAGAGAGGGTTTCCTTGGTGATTATCCCCAGACTTTGAAACTCCCTGCCCAGGGAGGCCAAGGAAACACCCTCCACACCTCATTGTCCAACCACTGGCAGGCTAAGACATTTTAATTCAATTTAAGTTTGACATCTCAGCTTATTGGCTGCTGATTGTGTTTTTAATCTGGTAGGTTCTGCTATTTCTTTCATATCAATGTGTGTGTGGGGGAGTTTTTGTTTTGTTTCTTGAAATTTTACTTGTGTTGAGTTTTTTATTGCAGGTTATGTATTGAGTTGTTGAGGCTTCATGTCTTAATTATAACTTTTTTGTGATTTATTGGCCACTGCCTTGAGTGTTACATTTAGCAGAAGGCATAATATATAATGAACAAAGGGCAGTGAAGTTCTATGCCTTTTAGCACCTAGATGGCCATAGGATCACTTGGAGATCCAGTGCGGCTGGTTCCAAAAGCCGTCCAGGTGGGTCTCTGAGCTATGAGCATCCTTCTTCACTTTGCAGCCAGCATGGGAAGAACCACATTGGTTGAGACAGTATCAGAAAGGTTTGTATTTCCCCATGAAGCATACCTGGGCAAGTTACCAGAAGCTTCTCTTCCCATTTCTGTACTATTACTTTCCAAATTTTCATTCTGGTTGTTGTCATTTTCTGGGACGTTCCTATAAGCAGATATAGACTTTGCAAATAAACTGAATCCTGGATTACTGGAAAAGGAGACCCACAGAAAGAAAAGGACATAGCCAAATGCTAATGATATGGTGCTAAGATTACAATAATTAGTCAAGAGACTTTTTGACAGGCAAACTAGTTTTGGTTACAAGTTTAGGCTTGTCATTACAGCAGATGGCAGCATTTGCTTTATAACAGAAGCAAACGGTTATGACTTTGCAGCAATGTCTCTCACTACAGATCATCTGTGTCTCAGCCCCCCACACATTGGCAATTTGTGGGGAGAATTTAAAATATTTTTGTGAGGGACCTCCTGGGTAGGTCAGCTCAGGGACATTTGCATATATTCATTGCTGGAACAGCTGCAACCCTGGTTGATTTGAGCTGTGATGCAGAATAATGAAATCACTATTAGAGAAGAAGTGGAGAAAGACTCCTCTCAACAGACCTTTTCCAACATTTGTGCCTGCTAATTAAAACAGCTGACACTTTTCAGAGTCACCAAGCCATTCCTGGTCACTTCTGCTTCCAGAACACAGGAAGCCAAATACATCCCAGGTCAGCCTATTAGTCCACCTGGCACAGTACCATCTGCTCTGGCTGGCAGAATCTTTCCAGGCAGAGGCCTTTCCCATCACTGATCTTACCTGGAAATGACAGGGTGGAATCTGGAACCATCTGGATGCAAAACATGCACCTGCCACTGAGTTACCATCTGCAGACAAAGAGGTTGTTCTGCTGCTGAGTTATTATCTCTCCCCTTTTGGCAGAGGTGCTGCTCTAGTTCTGGAGTCCCTGAGAAGGTAGTCAGGTGACTTGTTTTACAGAGGATAGTCCTTTATTTGAATGGCTGTCAGAAGGGAGTTCCTTATATGAAAGCATCCACTATCTGAAGGGCTGCCCTGTTCTTGTCTGGCTTAAATGTATCATAAGGGATGAGATGCCAGACAGTGTCTGAGAGGCCACGGAATACTTTGGCTCCCCAGATTCAAGGTCAGAGACAGTGGTATAATCTGATGGGGGTGGGGAATCCATGACATGTACCCTCTCTGCCTTGTACCTGAGGTAGAAAGGACCACGCTGGTTGCCTGTCTGATGTAGGGAATGCAACCTTGGAGGGTAGAGGGAGCAGGCATTTTGGCAGGTGAGGAGGGAAAGGGACCAAAGAGGCCAGGATAGGAGCTATCCCGGGGCCACTCCAGCCTCCTTTCCTCTCCCTCTCAAATGACTTCTCTAAGAGGGCAAAAAAGAACACGGATGAGCATGAGCCTTCACCTTTGGGAGCTTACACTGACTACTGTAGGGTTGCACCCTAAAGAGGGACCCAGAGATCTTGGAACAGCAGGTTGCCTGCTCACGGTTTCCTATTTTCTCTTTTTAGTCATTTCTTAGATTTCCTCATTGCTTTTCACATCAACTAAGTTTTGTGAAAATATGGTCTCCTTTATGTCTCCTTTCTGAATGACTTACACTGTCAAAAGGAAGCATTCTGGCCTTTTATGGATTTCCTGATCCTCTTCCTTAACTATTCAGGTGATCTGCTGAACAGCCTTCTTAATCTGTGGCATACATTTTATTTGATCCTCCGTTATAGTGCTTTTAAGCATTTCCCAAGTTTCCTAAAATACTTTGGCTCTCCTGACTCTGCACTTCAGTTTCATTTTAATTTATTTCCCTCATTTTCCAGAAGTTTTTACATTCCTTCATATTTTTCAGATTGATGTGACATCATTTGTCAAAAACTGCCATACAGACACGTGCAATTGTAATCTTGGTGGGGACTGTGAATGTCTATGTACAAGTATCGCAGCTTATGCTCACAAATGCTGCCAGCAGGGTGCAATAATTCACTGGCGATCTCCTTCTCTCTGCTGTATGTATGCCATTAATTCTGCCATCAGACATTATCTCTGTAAAGAATGCAGATTATTCCACACTTTATTGGTTAATTTCTATGAAATCACTGAGACTGAACATGGTTCATCATGCTGATGCAGATTAATAGTTGTTTGATACCTGAAACCATATCAGAAAAGTCATTCTAATTTATAATTTTACAAATGGCTCTTATATTAAAAGTTAGACCCTTTAGAACTAAAAAATGTTATGTTATATCTGCCTGCTTGCTCACCTGCCTGCCTGTCTATCATTTCTCTTCTTATACTGGTTTCCATATCAGCACTGATTAGTTTAAAAAAGAACCAAGGGATGTGTGAACAGATTTTGCAAGGCTTTCCTTTCCCTTTTACAAAGTGGAAAAGCCTATCTGGACAGTTTAAATCCGGAACAAAAATTAGATCTTCAAAACCAGTGCCTTTATATGACAGATATTACTAATAATGGAACTCCCCAAAAATGGAGAATCTAAGTAAAATGTATGGACTCAGATTTTACTGCCTGAGTGCGACCTTGTCTTAGAATTATTGGCAATAATGAATTCTCTATTTTCTGCTATTAAACTGTGTACCTATTTTTTTTCTTTCAGCTTATGACTGTGATTACTACAACCAAGGTATGTAGCTTTTCTGAATAATAAACTAGAGGCATAGAACATAAGAACATTCTAAAGCAATGCTGGATTTGACCAAAGGTTCATCTAGTCCATCATTCTGTAAACATGGTGGCAAATCAGTTGTTGGCTCTGGTAAAGGAAGCAGCTACTAGCCAACCAGGCTAGTAGCCACTGATAACTACCTCCTCCATGAATCTGTCCAATCTCCTTTTAAAGCCATCCAAATGGATGGCCAGCACATTTCTTGTGGCATACATTCTCCAAAGAATGTAACTCTCCAAAGTGGTAACTCTTGCAAATTACTTTGAGCTGCTTGAAAATAGCTACTTGCTTACATGATCAGAGTACCCTTTGGGGCATAAAAGCATCATTTTTAATGTTTTGTACAATCAATATTTTTAGAATGGGGATTTACCATGGCTCTGCTTCAGTGTTTATTTCTGATCAACTTCAGGCCATGATAGGGGACAATATAACTTGTTGTAAGGTGTTGTTAGTTTAATAGTCAAGTGGTCTAATGGTATTTTGGAATCCTTGAAAGCCAGCTCAAGTCTCAATTTCAGTAGAAAGTAGAATGGAAGAAGAAATTATTTACATATGAACAGGCCACAGCTGAAGGATTGCACACTAAAAAATCACTCAGAACCCATAATAGTGAAGGGGAATTACTGTTATTCTGACACTTGAGCAAGAAGAAATCAGAAAGAGAACCTTGCTGATATAGGCAGGAGATTCGTTTGCAGCACTTGCTTAGGTACTCATTGTTGCTTTGCGGAAGATGACTGGAGTGGCAGGAATCAGTACATGTGAATCCTTGAATGTGTCAGAAAGTTCCTGAGTTGCTTCCACACTGGTCTTTTTCTCTGGAGTTGCCATCATTTGCTTCTTCAGTTTCTGCATAGCGTCTAGATTACATCATTCTCAATCCACTGCCTTCCAGTGTTTTCTGTGCTATTCTCCTGTATTCTTGAGACACTGTGTGTTGCATTGTTTTGGTGACAAAATACAGCTGCATCTCTATCCTGTATAGAGTGACTAGGAAAAACTTTGCTCTTTATGTCTACTATGCCTACTTTTATATCTACTAGACATTTCCTACTTGTAGTTCAGCCAGTTTTGTTCCTTCCTGATCAGCAGGCATTAAGTGCCCCATGAATAGACTTTGTTCCAATTTTTTGTTTCTCTGGGGTTTCCTTTGTGTGTGTGTGCATATGTGTGCATGCACCTTTACTGATTTCCTTTCATTTTTCAATGTTTCTTAGAGAAAAATAAGACTGATTTGCTATATTTTTTAAAAAATGAGAGAAAAACAGTAATTCAGGCCTTCACCAACAGAACTGAAACTGAAGAAATGATTACTGGTACAAACACTAATTCCCACTGGTGCTATCAGGAAGTAGTAACATGGACTGAACCTACAAGGAGACATTTAAATTAATATTGCTGGGAACCTTTCCTGATATGGACTTAAGCTGTGAGTAAATGCTGTGGAAGGACCTTGGCCATAACCAAGAACATTGATCAAGCACATATCTTAAGCATTTGTGTGGAACTTCTGTTTTACTTCCACTTCTTGTTGAGTGCAAAAAAGCTTAGTAATGCTAAAAGCTAGTGGCTCCTCATTCCCCACTGTCCCATTTCTTTCTAGCTTGTTTTAACTCTTGATTCTCATTTTTCTCCCTCCAGGTCTTGGAGAAGGACCATATATTTTTGCCAGCTATGGCCATAATGGCACTGTTATAGGAGTCAACATCAGCAGCAAAGAGATATTTCCTTTGCCTAGAATTAGTTTCAATGGAAATGTATATTTTAATTTTATGTTAACTCCTGGACTTTTCAAAGATAAAATACCATGTGAGTTTTATCTTTAGAATTCAGTGTAAGTAAAGCTCAAGTTTTAGGATTTACAAAACAAAACAACCTATCTAGACTAAATAATACTTTTCTAACCAAAATCTGAGTAAATTTGGACGTGGAGGTGCAAACACTGTAAGAGAAAGAAGACTTTCTCATTCCTATGTACCCTCCAGAAACAGCAAAAAAAGATCAAGTCAGGGTTTCCAAAAAGGGGTCCATGTGGGCCATGGCTCCCAAGAGAACCTCCAATGGTGTCGATGAAGCTTTTTATCTGGTGTCCCTTCAAGAAATGTGTTTTTATTACCAAACTTAAAAAAAGCTAGGGTGGTAGACTCCCTAGCTGTACCTCAGCCTCCACTGAAGAGTTAAGGGAGAGAAAGAAAAATAGCTTCCTGGCCCCATAAAGAGTTTTCCATCCCAGCAGACTTCCCCCACTTCACTCTCTATCTCTTTGCTCCTCACTTATTGCCCTGCTATAGTTCTCACCAGTGGAACGCTTTGTTCCCTAGCCTTCCCTTTCTGTCTTTCTTCCTCCTAGCCCCTAGCCTTACTCTTTCCCTCCCATTCACCCTTTCATCTTGCTCTTCTCCCTCACCCAGACTGCAGCCTCTTCCCCTTTGCCTTGCTCCTTTCTTCTCCCGCCACACCTCAGTATTTCTCTCTCCCCTGCCTCTTTTGACTATGCAGGTCCCCACAGGAGGCACTATTTGACTAGACATTTACTTTGTAGGAACTATTTTGGGGGTTATGCACAGCACTTTCTCAAGTTCCCAAATCTGTCTATGGGTCCACAGAGGTTGGAGGTCCCTGGTTTGAGTGCTAAGAATGTTGCAGTGAAATCCTAACTGGCAGAACCGCTGGTGGAGTGGGGACTAGTAGGAACTTCATGGTGGTGGGAAGTGCTTCTGGAGCATGGGAAGGCTTGGACTGCCCTGATGCCTGTTCTCACCCACAAAAAACTCCAAAGTTTGAATCACTTGATACTCCCAATTCACCATAGTCAGTGTAGCTGTAGCATAAGAATAACCACAAGGAGAACATGTCATTTTAATACATTTGAGCAGAATTTTAGCATGGTCCTGCCCAGACTAATTTGACACATTATTTATTATTAGCAACATTTGTGTACTGGTTTTCATTTCAAACAAATCCTGAAGGAGTTGACAAAAAATAAGAAAACAACAAAATAAAATGAAAACCACATAGTCAAAATACCATCATGTGGTCAGTTTAAAGATAGGTCATGGCTGGGGCGGGGGGGGGGGGGGGAGAGCAAGCAGAAACATTTCCTATGAATACTGAAAATACACCAGCATTGATGCCTGGTGCATCTCAAAGGAAAGAACATTCCATAGGGTTGGTGCCACTAAATAGATTTTTAGCACTCCATTGTATGTAACACTTAGATTTTGGTAGTTAGATCTTACTGTTTATTGCTATGTATTTCATTGGTGGCAGCTCCATCTCTGGTTTCACTTGAGTCTGCTGAAAGGCCAAACTACTTTTTATATGCCCATGATGACGAAAGTGTTTGTTTAGAACAGTGGGATGCAAGCTCATCATTTCGTAGAAGGACAACTTTTTTCCATCATCAAGGCCTTTGGATTCCTGGTTACAGTGCATTTGAACTGTACAGCAAGAAAGGGTTCTTCATTATACTTAACACTTCTTCTGTGAAAGTATCCAAGTTTGATGATTCTGAAGAATTCAAATATTCAAGCAGCTTCAGCATAGAGGGTGAGTGATAGGGGGTGCTGGACAGAGTGTGAGAGAGGGGTTGGGTACATTGCTGGAAAAGAAAAGGATATGGTTGAAGCCCCATTGGTGAGGGTGTTTAAGGTTAGACTGGACATGCACATGGTAGGCATGCCATGAGCAGAGCAGAGCCAGCTGGAGCCACTGGTCAGACTAGAAGGGCCTGGGAGGTCCCTTCTGACTCACTCTGTTTCTATGTTTCTACAGTTCTTCATCAGGAGGAACAGATTAGCACAAAAATCATATATCTTAGATAAGAAGGGAGTATGTCACCTGGGAATTCTTGGAGAACTGGATTTGGACTCTAGTCCTAAGCATCTGCATCCTAGTTTATCACTATCCAGTAAAATAATAGTTATTAAAATATTTTTAAAACTTGTATCTGTTTCTTGGTCAGAGATGCTGTCTCCAGGAAAAACATGATTTGTATAAGGGAAGATGGCACTGGGGATGTCTATTCCCTCCCTTTTAAAGAATGAATTACTCCTTTCCTTTGTCTGTCAGAAGTAATCATGGTTTAGAGATATCCTCTGCATCCAGTAGCAAAATACTACATTGTTGTCATTTCTTAGAACTCCACACTGCAGTACCTTACAGGAGGATGTGTGAATGGCGATATGAACCTTGTACAAGTCCATGTGTTAAAACTTGCAGTGATCCTGAAGGAATAGCATGTAAATTTCTTCCACCGTGAGTACATTGATTTAACATTTAATGAAATATTTAATGTTGTACATTCTCAATATAATTCTCCATGTTTATGTCCATGAATCTGTAATGTTTTACATTAAATTTCACTTAATTATTTAGAACTTCTGCAGAAGAAAACAGAGTACCAAGTGAGTTTTCTTACTCCTCCCTCCCTCCCTCCCTCCCTCCCTCTCTCTCTCTCTCTCTCTCTCTCTCTCTCTCTGTGTGTGTGTGTGTGTGTGTGTGTGTGTGTGTGTGTGAATTAGGGTAATCAGCTGCATCCTACATATTGAATGCAGCATATAATTTATCCCTCACTCTATGGAATGGGCAAAATATATATTTGGACCTTCAGGTAGATTAACAAGGATGAACTGCAGCAGATTAACAAGGGTTTCCCATTTCCTTAACAGAATGATTGAGCCCCATTTCCATTAGACATCTGAACCTAGAAAAATTGGAGAAAAACCATGAAAAGATTTTTGCGAGTTTCATTTTTCTTTTATATTTTAAATAGGGTTGAAGGATGTGTGCCATACTGTCCTAAAGAGATGATTCTTGATGACGTCACACTTAAATGTGTTTATCAAGAAGACTGTAAGTCTCCCTGTTTATTTTTCCTGGATAGCTACAATAATATAGTATACACTGGTAATCAGCAGTATCATTCCATGTCATAGAAAGATTGCCTTTCTTGGCACAATTTTAAGAGATGCTAGTGTCTTTAGATTTTTTTTTATTTTTGTGAATCTTTTAATATGATTGAGCCTGTTCTGGCCATGCAAATGGCTTTTAAAAATACATTTCTGACCATTTAAAAATAATGGACACTAACAGTGAACTCAGCAGCTATATCTTATGTAGCCAAATAACCAGCTATGAAAATGGGGAGATAGCATGTTTGGGAAAAATCCTTCTTTCTACTGTAATATCTCTGAGAAATGTACTTTAATAGCAGCTGTACACAGCATAGTCTTGAAGTAAATCCCACTGGACTGAATGGGATTTTTAAATTAATATTAGACTATTAATTTTAAAAATGAAAGTTCAACTATGCATGTAAATAATGTGAAAAGGACTCTCCCCTTCTTTTATAAAGGTTGCTTTTATGGTTTTCAAAACATATACCTAATGCTTTCCTCTCAAATGAAATTATTAGGTGGAACTTTCTACTCAGACCACATTGTTACTTGTACAGAAAAGAAGGGTGGGGAACATGTCTTTCCAGTGGCGTTGGAATGTAATTCCCATCAGCCCTAGCCAGCATAGACTTTGGTGAGAGATGGTGGAAGTTACAGTCCAACAATATTTGGAGGGCCACATGTTTCATATACCAATGATAGTAGGGTAGTAAAAGCTACTATTGCTTACTTTTCCTGACCTAGCAAGAGCAATGCATCTGCAAAATATTTTTGCATTCCATGATAGAGGGGAAACGATGTATCTATAAAGGTGCTGAGTTCTCCGTTGTAAGCACTAATTTCTGTATTTATCACTGAAACTGTGCACATAGTTCTGACTTTGTCCCAGTTCACATATTCTGCCTATTTTTGATTAATTACACTCCTAGTTATGCTGGAGTAAGAGAATTTACTGCTTCCCATACATTTACTACTCCCACCTTCTTTCAGGGTCACAAAACAATTCAGGAATGTCCTATTCCTTGTTTTTTGTTGTGGTGTATGAGCCTGGCAATAATGAAATTATGCAGGATTGGGGACCTCTCTGGATTTTCTGTAGTCTGGAAAGAAACAGATGTGCTGAATTTGTTCATTGCTTAGTCCATAGTTAGCCATTACATGAGAAAGGGAATACTCTGAAAGAGCCGAGTGCCTGAATTTGTCCTCTTCCTGTTTCCATTTCATGACCACTGTGGCCTACTGTTTCAACAGGCATACATATGAAGCCTACAGAATCTTCATCTGGGGCAAAGCCACTGAGAACAAGTCCTACAGAATTAAGCACCCATGTAGTAGGCACAATGGAAAGTATGTCTCAGATGCCTTCGATATTCGTCAGTGAAGGGGCTGAACCAACATATATTAATCTGACTGTGAAAATGACAACTGAAAGAGCAGCCACTGCAGATCTTCATTCACCAACGTCACCTTATGCAAGCATGCATTCACCTGATTTGTTGTCAGTTCCAGAACAATCGCTGGAAGACAACTACAGTACTACAACCCTACCTAGACTACTTGATTCTTCATCTCCAGAAGCTTTTCCAACTACTTCAGAAGCCCCAGTACTTACTCTAACATCCTACAGCACAACTCCTGTCTCCTTGTTATCATTCCCCACTGCAACAACAGCTTTACCATCCTCTACTGCTCTACCTTCAATAACCACTTCATCTATATTATTAGGACCTGCAGAATCTTCTGCCGCATTAGCTACCTTACCTGTTGGACGAAGTTTTGCTTCTGTTGAAATGCCCACAAGCATCTTAATGAGTAGCCATTCTCCAACACCAGTAGCTGCAGCAACACAGTCTTTTTTAACTGAAAGAACATCTTTTCCGAGTCCTGTATTATTTACAAGTTCACAATTAACACAAACATTTATGATGACTTCAGGAGCTGCGTCCCATCTGTCTGCACTTACGACAGCTGTGACTCCTGTTCCATTATTAACTTCTAGATTTATTGGATTTGCTACAAGTAACTCAACTTCAGACTCAAAAACATTATTGAAAACATTGCTGCCTACATCTGTAATATCACCAAAAACACTTCCAACCCTTTCTGAAGATATTGCTTCCTTGACCTCCAAACATTTTCCTATGGTCTCAGATACAGTTAGTACAGCACCACCTTCAGGTGTTACACAAAGTCCTAAATGGCCTTTGCTGGAACCCAAAGTGACACACTTAAGCTCTCCATCATTGCCTCTTCCAGTTGCATCTCAAAAACCAAAAGTAACTGGGGAAGTTACCATTTTCTCAAAAAGCGTTCATATAGGACCTTCTACATTTTCTCTTCCAGGTGTTCCTCAAACTTCGGAATCATTTTTAACAAGAACAGTTTCAACAGAAAGTAAACATGCATTGCCCACAGATACATCTCCACAGTCAACTGTTTTTATAAGGTCATCAGAGTTTGCTCATACCAAGGATTTATCTAGTAGTATTTCCATGCTACCTATAAAGGAATCTCATGTTACACCAAAAGCAACATCTGACACAAGTGTTCATGGATTTGGCCCACATACAGAATTGAAAGCTGTTTCTATACTTAAAAGTAAAGATGCTTTAATTACTCCTGCAGAACTTCCAGATGCCTTATCTGCTTTTACACATCCATCTAGGGTACTTTCAGTGTTAACAACAAGATCTTTCATCCCTAAGTTCTCTGCTTCAACCTCTCATTCTGAAAGTTCAACAATGATCCCCATGATTGACATCACTTCTGCTACAGTATCAGCTAAAACTCACATGCAAATACCAGTTGCATCACTTGGTGAACATGCCACCTCAACAAGTTCATATCATGAAGCTTCTCCTTCAGCCTCAACTGTAAATGCAGATACTTCCACAACACAAACTATGTCCCTACCTCTTCTGGGGATTTCTGATATTCCTACACTATCCTTGGGAAGCAGAAGGTCCTTGACTTCTTCAGTGACCAGTACAATATTATCTTCATTAGCAACTACATTCAGTCCTCAGTTTTCAGAGCCAACACATTCTGTGAGCACTCTCTGGAATATTACATCCGTTGCAGGAGAGGTCACTGAAAAGCTCTCCCTTAGCCCCTCAGAAGGTTCACTGGTTTCATCTGCCAGCACAACAGCTCTTAATAAAACTGCAAAAGTGACTGAACTCTCTCCGATCCATTTTGAGCTTTACACAGTTGCTACTTCCACCCCAGTTCCTACTTCTTCGCAATTGCTAATGCATGAACCAAAGTTCACTTTGTTTGTACCCAAATCCTCTACAGAATCCTTCAAAACAATACCCATAAAAGTGGATGAATTGATTGTCTCAGGTTGGACAGAGCAGGGAATAACACAGGCTTCAGAATTTCAAAATGCAACCTCTTTTAAGGAAATGACTTATGCCTTAGAAAAAAAGGAGACTTCAGAAGTGCAAGAAGACACGAAGTACGGAAGCACTGAGGGGTCTTCCCCATCTGTCTTCCAGACGACCCTGTCCATTAGCAAAAGCAGCACAGCTGAGAAGCCCGACTCTCTCTCCAAAGTGACAGATAAAACGTTATCTGATTGGTCTAGAGTTCCACCACCAAAATCAATTAGGCCTTCCTACACCATGACTGAACCAGAACAAGCGAGAATCACCAGCTTGGACAATGTCACAATAACAGATATATCTCACTTTCCTGCTGAGCCTTTGGGGACCCAAGCATCACAGACTGAAATGGAAACAGTGACAACAGAAAGTTCAGAATATGCTTCGTTTGGCACAATGATACACACAATCGTGTCTCCAACAGCCACAGAGTGCACGGTGAGGGCGTTTTTCCTGCTTCTTTTATTTTGTATTCTCATTTATTAAAAATTTTCAGGGCACAGTCCCATAATCTCCCAACATCATTTGGACCATGATTTGGAGTCCTCTCTCCAAGATCCTGCAATCTCAGATATGGGAATGCAGAGTCTGATGTCACAGCTTGCATGGAAAGGGCTAGAAAGTTGCAACTGGGATTGGAAGGAACAAAAGGGTGAGCTTGGGGGTGGGAGGGGAGGAGGCTGGGATACACTGATTCCTATCTGTACTGCAGCTTCTTTCACTGCCCTTCCCAGCATTTTATCTTGATGGCTGAACATGGTTATCTAGATAAGCTACATGGCTTGTGGCATGGCAGCAGAAGAGACCACCCTATGGCCCTTGTTCCATACAAAGGATGCATGAAACTTCTGAGTTTGTCAACACATTGCACCCTTTTTTTCTTACTTATCAATTTTCTTTACTTCTTCATTTAAATAAACATCTCTTTTTATATTCAGTTTTCATGTATGTTGGATTCATGGTCAGCTAACTCTTTGTAAAAATAATCTCCAGAGCACTTCAAGTAGACACATTGGAATGAATTGAACTTAAGTTAGACTAAAACTGGTACAATCGTATGCTTCCTCTATATCTAGTAATCCTCAGAGACTTCAATTCTAATTCTAAACCAATCTGCCCTATACTCAAACTTGTTCTTTTGATTTATTTATTATTTCTGTTTGCAAGGAACTCAAAGCAGCTTATATGATTCCTTTTTCCTCTTCATTTTAGCAACATCCTTGTGGGGTAGGTTAAACTAAGAGCTTATTTTATTTATTATTTAAAACATTTCTATGCTGCCCCCATCGCAACAAAGCCTCAGGGCGGCTCACAACATAACATAGCTTATAACTGGTCAATGTCATCCAGTGAGTGTCAAGGCTTAATGGAGACTGGAACTGAGAACTTCTGAGTCCCAGTCTAAGGTACTAAGCCACAGTGACACTCACGGTATCATGAGATAACTGTTCACAGCTATATCCATTCAGACCACAATGATCACAGGCTGGTGTTTTCTGGTGTTGCTTTCAGAGCTAGTAGTGCCTGGTTTAGAAACTCATGGCAAATCTTTGTTCATGAAACAAAATCAGTTCAGATGTTAATGCCTCTGTTTTTTCCCACAATCATGGAGCAGCCAAGATATCTTGATCCAGTAGATGTGTGCAGTCAGTATGTGTGCATTAATATGGGATGGATGCTTTACAATCTCTCGAGGAACTGCCATAAGAACGTGGAAAAGCCTGACTGTGGTTTTCGTGGGATGCCAGTTCAGATTAACAGTGACAGCTGTTGTCCAGAATGGGAATGTCCTTGTAAGTTCTTGCATACATTTTATTATATTTTTAAACACAAAGGCCTACATATATAGTTTTCATTACAAAAATTACAGTCAGTTGATTATAATTTAGCATGATGAGGCTCAGGATTGAACTACAATCAATGAGAAATACTAACCAGAGGTGTTAATTGGAAACGAAATTGTAATATAGGCCAAAGTTTGTACCACTAGTACCAATCGAAACTGGATGTTCTACCAAAAGGATATGAAGGCAAGCTCTAAGGAAGATAGGAAGATGGGTGATAAATCAGGGGCTAGTTTGAAGGTGTAGCTGCCTCCTGCATCTTTTTGTATTGTTACTCTAGAATAGGCAGAGGGCTTCTGATTCAGACTGGGAGCTTGACGTGGGCATAAAGGAGAGCATTTAACTTTTCCATCCTACTAGAAGCCCGATTCAGATTGGGAGCGCTGTGACTAACCTAGAGTAGAAATGAAAAATAATGTCTGTTTTGACCCTTGGTCTGTGCAAAGGAGATTTTAAATCTGTGTATGGAAACTGCTCAAATGATACTGCATTCCTCTATGCACTTACCTGGGACTTAGGCCCACTGAACGGTCTTACTTCCCCTGCTTCACTGGCCATTCATACATTACCAGAAAAGAGGAAATACAGCAACCCACCCAAAAGCCAAAAGAAGGTATAGATTTGCATAAAATTCAAATGTATCAATGGATGTATATAAATGTAATTATAGAAGTAATTCCTATAATTGAAATAGAAATGCAATACCTCTCATCCTAGGAGGAAAGGCCATGACCAGGTGAACTGTGTGCCTGCTCACTCTGGTGTCCAGGGGCTAACTGCGGTGGGGTGAATCTGGTGCTCCAAATTCTCCTCTTTATGGTACTTGAAAGCCGTCTTGGCCTGGGCAGCCCTTCCACAGAGAGTGCTTGCAAATAGGAGACTGTCCTCGGCAAAGCAGGGCACATCAGCACCCTGCCCCCAAACATTTTCAAGGGAAAGTGGCAGAAAAGGAGCCTCTGAGTAGGTGGGCATTGCCATGGAGGCACTAACTCACCAGTGCTTTGAAGTACTGGTGGAAGAGAAGAAAGACACTTGATCTTTCAACACACAAAGGGCTGTTACTGGCAGTAACATATGGAAAAGTACTTTTCTACTTTCTAGAGAAACAGTCACATGTATGAAGCATAAAGTAAAGTATGCTGGATCGAATGAACCATATTGGAGAACCAGGGTTGCTTCTCAAGCCCTTAATGGTGAATTACATTTCTTTTTGAGCCTCGATCCCAAGTGCTGTGGGTTATAAAATCAGCCACGTGCATCCACTGCAGATTTGTAACTTCGGTAGATGGTACATGACTTGCTGCGAAGACCTTGGGGCAGTTGCATCACTTTGCAGAGTGCAGCCAGAGTAAACGAAAAGGAAATACCACTTTCATGTTTGAGGATACACTATGTGGCTACACATGTGCCTGCAAACTTCCTAATGTGTGAAATGGCTCTAAGAATTATTTAAGGTCACAGTCCTATACAACTAACTTGGAAGTAAGCCACATTTGAAACCAGTATGGCTTACTTCTGAGTAAATATCCAGTCCATCCTGTATAGTAGCAGTATGTGTTGCTGTTGAGCCATGGTCTTTCTGAGGTCTCAGTTAATGAACTTTCTGCACAGTTCAATATGTGGAATAATCCCTCTAGCATAAGAAACCCCCATTCAGTGGCAATCTCACTAACTGTCAGTTCTTTCCTAGGTCAATGCTCTGTGCTGTCTGAACTGAGCATTATTACATTTGATGGAAATAATGTAGCACTATATAAAGTCGCCTCATACATTTTAGTCAAGCTACCTACAGAAAGTATTGTGGCTCATATCGAAAAATGTCCCACTAATCAGGTAGGGGCTTTGTTGGTGCTGTGTGATATGGATGTTTTGGATTTACAACTGCAACGATCCTTTACAGTGCTTTAAAAAGGCAACACTAATATTTTTGTATTTGTAGACATGTAAGTTCTGTAGCAACAAATGATAAAACCAATTCTATATCAATTGTCTATTGTATAATTTGATAATGGAGTATCTTTAGAGCCAGGTAGTGTCACTGATCCTACATCAGCTAAACAATCCATAGAACTGCAATACTGCAAATGCTGACCTTTGAAGTAGTACCATCAGCACTGCAATTCTATGTATATCTACTGTGGAGTAAGCCCCACTGAGTTCAGTTGGGTTTATTCCCATGTATGTACGCAGAGGATTGCCACTTAAGAACTTTAGTGCCATCTGTACCATCTGCTTTATGACAATATTTGTATACATTCAGGCAGCATAAAGATGTTTTAAAAAAAGGAATTCTGTGTTGAATAATAACTACTAACATTTATAATAATAATGGAATCATGCCTTTTTATGCAACAGCAATTCTAATCCTCTTTCATAACTATTTTTCAGAGTGCCAATTCAATAAGAAAACTAGTGAGTATTTTTCTAAGTATAGCTTTAATACTTCTGTAAGCATCTGTTGGCTTCTCATATGTCCGTTGTTCATCTCACTTCTGTATTTTTGTCTTTTTGTTTCAAGGCTCCACCTGGAAGTGCTTCAGGTCTTTGTTTTAAGAAACTTAATGTAACAACATCTTCTTATAAAGTGCTGATCAATCGTTTAGCAAGAAAGGCAAGTTAAGAAAGTTTAGGTTCTGCTAAAAATATAGTTGAAGGGAAAGTCATAGCCAAACAGATATACTTGAAATCAGATTTCAGACAGTGGGCCAATTCTGAGGCTTGACTCCACCTACTGATCCAGAATTTGGGGTGAGGATCCTTAAGAACAGCATGGGAACCTGTTCTGGAAGCAACAAGGGGAAGGGGGAACCAGAAAAATTACCTCTCCCATTTTGATTTATGAAAGAGTTCTGGTGGATCCAAAGCATTGCTTCATTGTTCTCGCTGCTTTGGAAACCTAATACAGAAGAAAGTGTGATTTTTGAATTCAAGCCATATGTGGCTCAGAAGGGTTTTTTTTTTCGGGGGGGGGGGATTCATCTATCAATAAATCTGCTTTGTCATATAGTTTGAATATAAGTGTCCCCTTTCTACTCACGAAGGAGAGCTTTCCTGCAAGTAAATTTCATCTCTGAAATTTCTGCATAGAAGGGCATGTGTCAGCCTGCTTTTTTGAGGATTGCTAGAGTGGTCTTCTGCCAGTAGTTCATTATGTTGCAAAGAGTTCCACTTGCAACAGGCCTCACAAGCATGGTTCTGGAACTCCACTTTTCACTCCTATCATTGTTTGTGGATTATTTTAGGTAGTTGTGGATTCGGTGATTCAGCCTTTGCCTTTCTCAAAACATGGCTTATGTATTCAAGACACTGGTGCCATGTATATAATCAATACACCAGCTGGTGTCAACATTAAGTGGGCTCATGTTACAGGCATTATAGATATCCAGTACGGCTTCCATTCTAATGCATCTGCCAAGACTGAAGGACTTTGTGGTGAGAATCTAATCTATCATTTCTAATACTTTGTATTCTTATTTGGTCTTTTTAAAGTTAAGGTCTAATTTGCTATCTAGTGTCCTGCTAGGAGTAACAGTAAAATCTCACTTGTGATGTTCTGCTGTTCCTGTGCCCTCATTTATTCCAGATACAGGTCTCACTAGTAAAGCTTGCAACTTGTTTAACTGCAACTTCCAATGACGGCATTAACAGAAAAGACATTTCACTCTTGTGAACACAATAAAAGACCTAATTGCAGCTACCAGGGCAGGTCTGGTTCATTACAAGGAATGTTTAGATGAATGGTTGCTGTAAGCACTGCATTTAGGAGTGATGGGGATTTGTTCAGGATTAGATCATGCCACAGGCTGAGATTAGTTCCATAAGTTATTTCCCTGTGCTCAACTCCTTCCCTCTGAACGTTGAATGTTTTAGGTTGTGGTGTGCTAGAAAATGTCCTGCCAACCATTCGAACACTCCATTGCTCTCTTATACTAGAAGAAAGATGCATTGGTTTAATGCAGTCGGTAATAAATAAAAAGGCTAAACACAGTACTGGTGGGAAAAAACCTCATGTAACAACCAACAGAGCTTAAATGAAAATTAATTACCTACCATCCTATGTTAAGAAGTTGGCTGTAATTTTGTATAAGCAGCCGTGAAAGTTTCAGAACAAGTAATCCACAAATAGATTAGTAATCAAATTGAGCATAATGTCAGGAGGAGCCTGTTGAAAGAATATGCTGAATATCCAGTTTTTCTTACTTTAGTTTAAAGTAAGAAAAACTGGATATTCACCATATTCTAGAGGGACTAGAGGGTTTATAAACCTATACTTTTTGGTTTTGAAGCAGCCCCATACTGAGACAGGCCATCTTACTTATCCTCGGTAATCTGCTGTGACTACCTGCAGCAGGTGAGGGCTTTCCCATTTTATGCTACCTGGAGATGCCAGAGAAACCCTGGACCTTCTGCAATCCATGGAATGGCCCTACTGTTGAGTGATGTCCTCTCCATGGTTAAGTAATAATTCACCTTTGTGGCTATGGGAACAATAAAATGTTTCCTTAGAGTTCAGAGAGAGAATTGCCTTGGCAAGATCATTGTGCCTGGCACAATCTTGTGTCGTGTGTGCACATTCCAGCAAGATTTCCAGGCACACACAAGAAGCTGACCATTTTGACTGGACTGACAGCTCAGACTCTGAGAATGAGATGTATGGGGGGAGTTGACCGATCCCCACAGGACTGACAGCTTGGGCTCTGATAATGAGATGGTTGTTGAAATGGACTCAGATCCAGCTGCCAAGGCCCTGGGTACCCACCTGTGCCTACTAGGGAAGAGTTTAGTTCAAGGGCAGCCAAGGGGCCTGGTCAGCCCACCTGTGGGATGAAGAAGAGCAACAACATCCTGAGGCGGGGGGTTGGTTATAGATGGGGAGCCTATCAAAAGGAGAACTCCAGCCTCCTGAGGGGTGGTCCCAATAGTCTGTCATCACAGTCAGAGGGTGGCCCAATTGAGGTCCCAGAGGGAGCAACACAGGTGTATCTGTTTCCACAGTTTTCTTCCCCCCAGGGACAGGTGCAGAAGAATTCATAAGGAAAGCTTTGGGTGAAAGAGGCCAGAGAGGGTTCAGCATTTCACCTTGTGTATGCTCAGAGACTTACAAGTAAAATAAAGATGTTTGGCAAGAAGCACTGGTGAGTCCGTTACTGCTGGGAGGAATCATTCAACTCACAACAGCTTGTAACATTGCTAGAGCAGAGGCAAAATGATCTAGAATTTACTAATCCTTAGATAATTGCAATGTTAGGCAGAAGTTATGCTACAGATGCTTTAGAAACAGTACAAAGTTCATCCTTAAACTTTTCTTGTTACAGAGCAAGATGGTAGGACAATGTAAAGGCTGTCTGTTAAAAATGCTGTTTCTGCATTGCTCCCTAACATATTCAATGATATATATTTATTAGCATATACTTTATACATAACACATAACATGGTAACACACCATTGATATTAATGTTAAGGTATATGCAATGGCGATCCAGTAGATGACCTGAAAATGCAAAATCGGACAATAATTACTAATAAAGAAGAAATTGAGGCTTTTATTAAAAGTTGGGAAATTGAGAAATCTGTTGATGTGACAACAAGGAGGCTTGTAAGAAACTGTACTGAAGATAACTGCACATATTGTATGGAACTCCTGCATAGATGGGTTTTTGTCCCCTGTCACAAAAAAGTAAGTACAACATTGAGAAAGCTTACATCTAGAAGTTAAAGCTCACACACTGAAGGTATTATTCAGAATATCTTATATTACAGATAGAGTACATAATACAGCACTAATCATGCAACAGTTTTATCACCTAGGTGTTTGTTATCCATTGCTGTTATTGGTTATATTTTGTTTATATTTACTCCTGTTTGATAAAGTTGTATTTATATTGTATTTTAATCTTATTATTTTTATGGTTTTGCTTGTTATTGTTATTTATTTGCATTTGCATTTTTTAAATATTGCACTGTGAGCCACCCAGAGAGCCTCTGGCTATGTGGGGTGGCATACACATGCAATAAATAAATAAGCAAGCAAGCAAGCAAGCAAGCAAACAAGCTTTTTATGCTAAAAATGGAAAAATTTAGAAAAGAAATGAAGCAAATTGGATCTACTTTTGGATGGATCATGGTTATTAAAATGTCACTAATTACCTTTAAAATTTGTTCCATTCTGTCTCAGTAACAGTAGCAGAAAATCAACATGCACCATGATGTCTTCATTGAATCATTTAAATACACATCTATATTTTATCTAGGTTTCACCACAAGACTTTTGTGAGAAAATGTGGATCAACAATACTTATTTTTGGAATTATGAATGTGATGCTCTTTCTGCATATGTAGCATTGTGCAGTAAACATAACATTTGCATTAAATGGAGAACACCAGACTACTGTTGTAAGTATAGCACTGTCTTCTTCAGTCAGGCAATATTGTGTTTGTCAGTCTTACATTTAATATGCTAGATATCTGTGGTGCATGACATAGGCTATTAAGTTTAGAAAGGGAAGGGCCAAGATCAAATCATTGGATAGCTGAAGTTTACTGAGGAGCATTCCTGGATTGGTTGGTGAATGCAACCAATGTACATTACAACTAGTTAAATAAAAGATCTAAATCAGACTTACATCACACGACCTATAAAATAGAAAAGCGTTTTATTCACTGTTGACGACACTGATTATTGTTCCCTTACGCCATATAGCAGGGATAGGCAGAAGGAAGATCTCCAGATCTTTTGAACCTCAACATGGCCTGCATAGCCAATGGTTGGAAATACTGTCAACTAAGGTTCAGAACATCTGGAGGTCCTACTGCTTCCATAATGTGTACTTGGTGCTGCAGTACTTGGTGTCTTTTAGATGTTTTGTACCTTTAGCAAACCCAGCCAGCATGGACAGTGATCAGGAATCTGGGGAATTTTCATTCCAAACACCTGGAGTGTGCTTGGTTTGTGAAGGCTTCCACAGAGGCTAAAGAACCTTAATATAAATAGTCTTACTATAGAGTATAATGGGTCTATGTCTTGTTGCTCCTACTGCTTCTCCAGAAAACATGTATATAATGCTACCAGCATATGAGGTGCCATACAAGAATCAAAAGAGATACGGTGACTGGTCTGGTTCTTGCTGACTCTATTACTGAGCAATATGGGTGTACCTATGTGTATAGAGTGAGAGTAGTGATGGGAAATGGGGCTGCAAATGGCATTTGAGCAGCAAGATAGAAGGATTGTTCAGGGAGAGTTTTATTAAATTGGATCTGGGTGACTTAGATTAACATTTGTCTTCTGTACTAGCCAGACAAAACAGTTTTCTAATATTTGTGCCCCTCACTCACATCCTTTTTTATCATGCTCACATATTCTCCTCTGAAAACCATGTTTCCAAAATTACAGCCTTTGCAACTAAAGCTTCTTTTGAGTTACATCAAGAAGTATTAAGACATTACAAAATGGATCATTTTAGCTAAACTGTGCTGAGTAACTTAGAATACATTTCCTGTTGTCTCCTCCATTTTCAGGGAATATAAGAAAATGCGAATAATGTTTGTTCCCTCTGTATGTGTAGCACTCCGCTGTCCAAGTGGAAAAGAATACCAGCCTTGTGTGCAACCTTGTGCTGCCAAAACATGCCTAAATAAATGGTTTTATGAAGAATCCCCATGCTCCTATTTAAGAGAAGACTGTGTTTGCAAAAACGGGACCATTCTGCATAGAACAGACTCTGACCTCTGCATTCCAGAAGAAAAATGTGGTGAGTAAAGCTATAGCTATGTAAGCACATTTCTTCCCATTAGGACCAAACATGCTGGTCTTCTGATGAGGCAGAGGCATGGTTTCTGTCTTGGTTGTGTGTTTATCCAAGGAGTATTTCATTAATAGGCAGTCCACAGAACTTCTATTTATTGTATCTTCTGAGTGGCACAGTTAGCAAAGCTGTTTTCCATCTACAGATTTTAAAATTACCACTAGTGCAATCCTTTGCTTGCGTACACAGAAGTAAATCCCTTTGAGCCAAGTGGGGCTTACTCTCAATGAAATGTCCAGGTATTTTCAGCCTGTACTGTTTGAGAGCTTGCAAACAGTATTATGGAATTGCTGGAAATAATCCTTCAGTATACTGTCCATAATGGTATTTTGAAGGGGTGGCTCATAAGGATTTGAGAAGGTGAAACAGTATAAAAATAGCCTCTGAAGCCTAATTGAAGCTATCAAAATGCTACTCCATGTAATTATTGTTACAATCCCTTTGCTGCCTTTCAGAATAGATGCTGTGAATTCTCACACTTCTTTTCTCCGATTTCTTCCTTTCTCCAGTGCTTGTCTTAGGTCAGGTGTTTGCTTGCGTGTAACAGTCAGTCATGCTTTGTAAAAGAAGCAAGGGTAGGTCATAGACTACCTACACTAGAGGACTTTCATTAATGTTCTTGACTGTCCCTGGAGAAATAAAATGCAAGTTATATTTCTTAAAGGGTATCTCTGCGTAACTATAAGATACCCAGTTTCTTCCAAGATGTATTTCACTGCTGGGAACAGCTTGCTGAACTAGATACACTCAAACTGAATCAGCAAGGCAATTCTTAATTCTCACAGTGTTTCCCCTTCAGTGCAAGGCAAATGGGCAATATAAACTCCTATGTGTACAAGTTCTTAGTCAGGAAGGCAGGTTGTTATTGTTTGGACATGGAGTTTATAGTTTTCAAAGAAGCTCCAAAGGTATACTCAGAAAAATGCTAAGCTTTTAAATAGAAGCTGCATAGATCAGTTCCTTGATGTTTTGAAACAAGTATGGTTTGTATTAATGCAGGATATTTTTTCTGGATATCAGAGGGATGTTATGATGTATTTCTTTTATAGCCTGTACTGATAATGAAGGGCATCCCCGTTCTGCTGGAGAGGTTTGGAATGGCTCCAGTAAAGGATGCTGCATGTACAAGTGCTTGGAAAATGGAAGCATTATTGCTGTAGAACCTGAATGTAAGCAAGAGCCACCTCCAAAATGTGAGCAGGAGGGTGAAGTGATTATTAATGTAATTGAAGAACAAACTTGCTGTCCAAAGAAAGTCTGTGGTAGGTAACTGTTGGTTGATTTACATTTATCTGGGTGCAAGTCACAATGAAAATAATATATTTGGCATATTGCTTCTGTTAAAGAGAACAACATTTCTCATTGGTAAAGTATGAAGAAATATGACCCTGTGATGGTTTTGACCCCTGCTGTGAGAATGAGTGGTGACAAGTCTCTTTTCTGAGCTGTGACAGAACTGTCCAGTCCCCACCCAACTAAGCAGTAGGTGGGAAGGGATCAAATTATCATCTGGGCACATAGGTCATTAGTGCTCCAAGTTTCCTTATTATTTCACCACCCCCGCTCTGCACTTAAGGAATTAAGGACAATAAAGAAGCGAACCAAAGGGTCTGCTTAAAGTCCTTTCCTCAGAGGCATTATGGATTCTGAAAAGGGAGATTTGTGGAAATGGGCTGGTCCCCTAGACTATTAGGATGAAAAGAACCCACGAAGGAGGATCCCAGAGGTACCTGGGTGAACAATTTGACCTCTTATCTTTTAGCTGGTGTAGAGCTGCTAGTAATAGGAAAACCTCTTCGCATCTTCATGATTCTCCACTGCAGTCTCAAGGTTCTCTGGGTGAATTTGCTCATCACAAAAAACCATGCTGAGAATAGGCCACTCTGGTTCTTTATCCTGCCAGGGTTTGTTTCCTCCCCTTTGTTCTCAGCACATATCCTGCAGACCTGTGCAGTATAATGCTTCTCATAATCTCATCCCTGCATCTTTTTGTCCTCTTCCTTCCTTGTCCTCATCTCATATCCCCTTCTTCCTTTCCTACCTCTTGATTTCTCCACTTTGGCACTTACCCTGACAGTGATCTCCTTTATTATTATTTTTTCCCTGTGGTACTTGCACAAGTCCACTGATTTCAATGACTGCTCCAGTGCATTTTTAAAATGTGCATGCTTCCTTAGTTGCTTTCTAAATTGACCCATCTGAAACGGACTTGGCAGATTCCTCCATTAACGACTCATTTGTGAACAAGGGGGAATAAATAATAAATACTTTTCAAAGGTTTCTATCATGTTCAGGAATCTGTTTGAGGTCACTTCTTAATAATCAGCAGAGATTACAGACGAAGGAGACAGGAGAGAGGAAACAGGCCACCAGTGAGAGTGCAAGGAATATTGTGTTTTGTGCTGCTCTCACCAAGCAGTTCTACAGCCTTCTCTGGCAAGCCAACATGACAAGCCACACTGGGAGTGAAAAGCTTCACGACAAAGCCATGGATTGCCCAAGTGGCTTGTCAGTGGCTAATGAGTCATGCCAGGATTATGGAGTTCCCAGGCCAAGACAAGCCATGAGGAACAAACATTGCTCATAACCCACCACGGGTTAATTATCTCATATGATCCAGTGTTTTCTTCCATTTTGAGGTGAATTGCAGTAGCGCTCCATGTATTATCTCAAGCCTATTTCTATAAATGACAGAAAAGAAAAATTGGACTCGTAGACTAGTAATGATGTCAACAAAATTTGTTCACTTCCTATCTTTTTATTTTGTATAAATTTAAAATGCTACAAAATCTAAAACGATTGAATGTACCAATAAATAATAAAGCAAGATATATGAGACATAACTAATCTTAAGTTCATTTTTATTTGAAACATTTTTGTAATGGAAATGGATTGCAAAAAGAAATGTGGGTCTAGTGTTTTTATCTTCAAATTAAATGCACTTGCCTGGAGTAAAGAAAAAAATTTCTGTCAACTTCATATGTATCATAAAGCTAGATTAGCACTATACTGATAGATTTGGTCTATATATTTTTATTTTTAGAATGTAACATGACTGCATGTGACTCTGTTACTCCAACATGTAAAACTACTGAGAAGTTGGTAGTGAGATACAGTCTTTTGTCCTGCTGCCCTCAGTACCAATGTGGTAAGTGATTAATTGTAATAATTAGATTAAGAAGACATTGTTCATTCAGATAGGTATAGAACCTTTGAGCACTTAAAACAGGGTGCCAAAGTATGTCTACTGGGCTGCATTTAGCTCAACAAGATGTTCCTAGTGAACCACCAAATATTCTCTTATCTCTGCATCTGCCATGGTGGAAGAGATCATGGCAGTCCTACCCAGAGTTTTCCTCCTAGTGCCACCATTCCTTGTCTTTAATATCTGCTGCTCAGAGCTGAAACATGGATTTCCTTTGAAGCATTAGGAAGAGACCATGTGTGTGTGCGTGTGTTTCTGAGAGAAAGAATGTGGGTAAGTGTGCATGCATACACATGTGTGGCTGCTGGTGTGGTCCAAGGTGATCCTGGACCTGTTTTTAAACAATGAAATAATTAGCTGCAATTTACTAGAAAGAATGCTTTGGTTTTTATTCAGATTGCAATCCATCAGCATGCCCCAACACATCCCGTCCTGAATGCAGAGAAGACCAGTTTATTGTTGAAGCAAAACAGGAGGACCCATGCTGTTTCTCTTACTTGTGTGGTATGGAACTGCTCCCATGTTGGTAACTCTGTGGGCAAGCAGAAGATTCTTACATTTTACTCTTTAAAAACTTAGTTGCACAATGTCACCAACTGTTAAAGGGAAACACACTTTTTAATGACTGGGTTTCTTCTTCATATATGAATAACTGGCAAGGGACTGGAAGCTTCCTTTCCACCTTGCTTTTGGAAATCTGGCTATATAAACATGTCTGCACCACTTCCAGCAGACAGCATCAGGCTCATACGGTGTCAGGCAGCTTTTGCCTTTCAGCTTAAAAAGGCATGCCTTGGCTCTGAGAAGAGGCCAAAATGTAGTTGGCACCTGGTCTTGGTATCCTTAGGCTGTTCCTGGGGAACCTATGCAGCACTGTAGCACTGCATCTCAATTTACGCCCTGGAGTAATTCCATAGTGCAGTAGCCTTCAAATATCAGCTTGTTTTTACAGTAATATATAAGCACAAACATCACAGAGCTAGCATGAAATTAATTTAATAGATTTTAACTTGACATCTTGACATTTAATTTATTTTCTCTTGCAGTTTGTGAATCCTGCATTGAGCCTATTCCAGTATGTAATGAAGGGGAAATTCTCACTGTAGATCTCAGCACCACACATTACTGTTGCCCTCATTACCACTGCAGTAAGCTTTGCTTTGTTGCTAAATGTTGGAGCAGATTAAAATTAAGCCACTGGTTTTAATTCTTGTATCACTGAGTGACTATTGAAGTTGCCCTGCAGTGGGATCAAACTGGTACCCATTTCCTTTACTTCTGTCCTGAGAATGTGTATTAGGAAAGAGGCAGAAAAATGACCACATATAGCACTATGCAGTATCCAACAGGCTAAACATGGATGGGTTGCATGTACCAGCCCAAGTTTTCCATGTCGAACAGGAAAGTCATGTGGGCACCCATCACAGGGAAAACTACTAATACATTCTGCTAAAGTCAGTTACAATTTCTATTTAGAACCTCCCACTCAAATAGGAATGATCAAATGCTAGTCATATGTCTCGTGTTCCTATCTCTAAATAAGTAAAAGTCATCAGTTCAATTTATATGGTCTCCTTTCCCCCAAGATACCAGGATAATGTTTTATTTTCACACTAACCCAGTTTGGTTTCACCGTTTTGGCTGAATAGCTTATGCTAGGTCACTGAGGAAATTGCAGTAGTGGCTGAATGATTGATTTATCTGAATCTAGCTTTATAACATCCGGAGCCCATACTCTAGATACTTCATCGTATTCTGAGCATACTTGAGAACTCATAGCAAGCATAGCCAGACTTAAAGAACCATGTGCCTAGTGGAGCTTTGGGTTTTAGTTCTGTAAACAATCCCCTTTCATGCTGCATAGCATAATGAAGTTGGCCCTGGGAGAAAGTGTCTTTCAAAAATGGTTGCATTCTGACAAAGGATGTCCAAATGGAAATGTCCTTACATGTTCCTGAAATAGCTCGTTAGCTCTTGAGCCATTAAAGAAATAACAATTGAAATACTGAAAAGGCATGTCTGTTTGAGTAATTTTCCTGTGGAACTGTGGAAATCTTCTTTTCACTCTATTATTTCTCTTTCTGCAGTCTGTGATGAGAATCTCTGTCACTTGCCTCTTCTGAATTGTTCTACTGATATGAAACTGGTGAAGAAAAGAATATTTGGACAGTGCTGTCCAGACTGGAACTGTGGTATCTGCATTGCCTTTTCTTTTAATGACTTGAATTACCATCTTATGGCCTCTTTTTGCCACTGTTGGGGTTGTATTCATCTTTCTCTCTCTCCTCAGAATGTAACTGTGAAAATGATACTGTACCAGCTTGCAAAGTGGTAAGAAATGTTGTTTTGAATATAATTTAGCAACAGTTGTAAAATCTGTACCCCCATCCTCTGTTGTGGTTTTCTTTTATGCTGTCATTTCTGCTGCTGTAGGATATGTGATCGTGTCAATAATGGAGCTCTGGAGGGTGCACTGAATTCGGCAGAACCAGCAACCACTTTTTAGAGCAAGCTGGAAGCAGTATTGTGGAAGGACTTGCCAGGGAAGCAATTGTGTGGAAAGGGCTGTCCATCCACAATGCCAAGCAGGCAAATGGGAGGAAAAGCTCTCCAAAGCAGCTGTTACTGAAGTTGTTAAATTCATACTGAAGAAAGGGGATGCTAACAGTAATCATTAAAACACCGGGCTTTAAATTGTTATTCATGACATAATTTCACTTGCAGTAAACCTTCAATTTTAAGAACATTTTTCTTATCTGTTAAGAATGTAGACTTGTTCTGAAATGTATATACACTTCCAAAAGTATGAAAATGTGCTGACTTTGTAATATATGAGCTTTCAAACTGACTGCTTTTATCCATTTTTCTAGCTTGGCTTTAAACAAATAGTTTCTGCGATCTGGAAAATGCCCCATCTATCACTATGATAAAAGGTTTATTTGTCTGTCATGCCCTTTCCCAGTGATGTAAAAAGTGTAGTGCTTTGCACGGTGTGGTAGATACTTCATCATGTCTGTGATATTCAAGTTAATACTGAAATCATGAAGGTATGAGGACAACAGACAAACACCCCATGAAGCATTTTTCTCCCTAGCTTTTAGAATCAGCAGAGCTGGAATATCTTTTTATTCCCAGGCGGGGAGAGACTCGCTTGTGGGGCTTTCTGCCTGAAGTGGCAAAAAACTGGGCTGGTGCTGGATACAAGGCACCTTGGCCTGCCGTGGAAGGGGGGCCCTGTTTGCTGCTCTGTCTGAGACAACAAAAGTATTTGGTCCAGGCTAGGCAATTGCAAAGGATCAGTCTCACACCAACATCCCCCTGCCTCCTTTGAGTCTGCAGCAGCGAAACACATGAACCTGCCTTATACCGACCATTTGTCCGTCTAGCACAATGGTATCAACACCAAGTGACAATGGCTGTTTAGGGTTTCAGGCTGGTGTTTTTCCAGCACTACTGGGAGATGCCGTGGATTGAACTTGTGCAAAGCAGGGACTCTACCACTGAGAGTCCCTGAGCTTGCCTTGCCTTACCTTCTCCTACTAGGCTGTCATTCAGTTTGGCCCTGGACAGAGAGAAAAAGCAAATGATCGCTGTTAGAGTGGAAAAAAGCAGGGCAGCAGCTCACTGGGGGCACCTTATCTAAGGACTCTCCAACTCCTGGCTATACTCCACAACAGATGTACACGCTGATGGTGGTGGTGAGGATGGATATGAGATGCAAAATGAGTTTGCTCCACTTAAAAATGTTAAAGTATAACATTTTGGTAGTTTACTTGTGGTTGAGATTTCTCTTCCTTACAGATGAAATTACATATTAGAGATCGGACATACATGAATATTGAAATATTATTTTTTTAATATTCAAGGGAGAAGTTCAGAGGTTAGATGCTAACGTTTCCAGCCCATGTGGATGCCCACAGTACACTTGTGGTATCTATTAACTCTCTCTCTCTCTCTCTCTCTCTCTCTCTCTCTCTCTCTCTCTCTCTCTCTCTGTGTGTGTGTGTGTGTGTGTGTGTGTGTGTGTTCTCTTTTCAGTATTATTCCTATTTGTTTTAAATGAATACTTAGTTCTGTTTGGGAACAAATCCTCTGCTCTGTATACTCTAACAATTATCAGTGAGTTCTTGGCTTCTGAAACATCAGAAGAAAGCAGACGTTTCTTGGAACAAAAACATTTTATATTAATTTGTCTTCCATCTCCATCTATGTTAAGTTTACATGTCTATATTACACATTTAGATAGATCATATTCTTAAACTAGTTTCTGTAAACTGAGCCCAAATTGCAAGAAGTAAATAATGAAGAAAATTTGAAATAAAATTAGGGTTTTTTAAAGTGTGGAAATGCAGCTACTGATATGGCATGAAAAGCATAGCTGGTTTTGCCAAGAAGCTCCATCTTTAACTAAAAATACAAAGCAGAGACATATTGGATGTGTAGGTGAAACTGTAGCCTGATATTGCACATCTTAGAATGACTGCATTCCAGTGGATTTAGGCATGGTTAACTGTATGTATAATTCTTTCAGTGCATGTTTATAAACTAGGGAATGGAGCTGGACACATATGGGTTGGAATAGCCTTAGTCTTGTTCAGTGAAGCAAACTTTCACAGCTGTCAGACTCATTGTGCGCATCCTACCTGAGTGCAGCCATGCCTGTTGGTACCAGAGGCATAACCTTTGCCATGAGATGCTGCTGTACGTAGCCAACTGAGGGAGTGGGTCTGTTGAATCTGTTCCCTGATGGAGTCCCCCCACCAGGGACAAAGATGTCAGACATAAACTTGTCTCCCTCAGTCTACCCATCTCCTTTGGAATCAAACTGAATGAACTGCTTTACTGGTTAGGGATGTTGTCCCTTGTGGTTGAATATGTTATTGCAGTCTTCAACCACATGGAAAGATTTACATTAAAGTAATTGCTATATTTTGGAAACAAAATAACTCTGATATTCACATCTTTAGGGCCTGCTTAGTATGCATATCAAGTTTTAGAAGTCTAGATTTTGTGGCCTCAGTGCTGTTGTGCAGATGGGTGGGGAGACTGACAGACACACTTCTTGTATTATACACCCATTGTGTGCATGTGTACATTATGTTGTGGGTTAATGCAGTGTAGAAAGTTTCTTCAGATTTAAAACACAGATTATTTTAGTGTGTTAGATTATTAGTAACATTTTTTTCATTTCTCTTTATTTATTTTTACATTAGAAAAGGATAATGTCTGTGTATTCCAAGAAGTAACTGTACTGAATCCTGGTCAGTTTGTGATTCAGTATTTGGATGGAGATTGCTGTTACACAGCAAAGTGTTCACAAGAAAGAGACTCCAGCACAGGATTCCATGTCATGGATCTGATAGTGGTAAACTGTTCCCAAAAATGTGAAGCTGTAAGTAATTCTAAAATATAGAAGTGAAGCTGTTAGTGAGTGTGTTTGTGTGTGTGTGTATATATGGGTAGAGTTGTCCTTGAAATCCACCTAGACACTACTAAGGCAATGAGTGTAATGTTTTGCTTCGTAGTAAATGTATCTATTTATTGCTTGAGGGACTTAGAATACTGGACTGGATTCAAAGAATGTTCCTTTCCTCTTGCCTTCCATCAAAAAAAGTAGACTTTGGACTGTCTGAAATCCTGGAGAGCCACTGCTAGTGAGGATAGAGGGGTCACTGACTGTTTTGGTCTCAGTCAACCCACTGGGAATTTTGGTGGCTGCCAGCATACACATGGCTGCTCAGAAAACATCCGTATGTTGAACTAGGCGGACTAGTGTTTCTACTTGACCTTCCCATGTTCCTTTGGTAATATTATGCTTATCCCTTTGCCTCATTGTAACTGAGCAGAATGCTTTCTAGATTCTTGTGTGAATTTTTATAACTCATCCTTTTTTTCTGTTTTACCAGTACAGTATCACCATTTCTACATGTTTTAATTCTCTTAGGAAGATGAGGCAGAGCTATTCCATCTTTTAGAAAGGAAGGTGAAAGCAGTAACTACTTTCAGACATAGCACTTAAATTACAAAAATAAAGCTAGCCACCCACAGACCCACAGCCTCTGTCCCCCGTCTGTTCCTCCAGTGTAATTACAAGGGGATCAAAAATTTCTGCTTCTGTTTTAGATTAACCACAGTGTAAACATATTGTCCAAACTCTACTATATGATTAATCTTAAGTATGGTTAGTGAAAATGGTTGCTAACCATTTATGAAGCATTAGCTTCATAAACCATGGTTTTAAGATGGCTTGATAGTTAATGTTATCTAGATTCAGGCAACAAGGCAAACTGGTTAATACAAATGGAAACAAAAATTTCTTTACTGCTCAACTATGCTGGAAGTAGAGTGGGGAGGGTTGCTGCTGCCTGTTCTCATAAAACTGAATTTTGCTTATGTGTTATCTCTGAATCAGCCCAATAAGAGTGTGACTGGCATAAGAAAGCCTTTCCTTTTTATAGGTTGCAGGGGCTGATGGAAGTAAGCTTCCTACAGGGTGACAGCAGACTGCCTCACTCACAGCAGTGGCCAGGGGACAGTGCCAAAAGAAACTCACAGAAAACCATATTGTTGGCATGTTGCCATTACAGGAATTAGTGGCAAATCCATCACTTGATCATAGCAGTTTTATCTATTTGAAAACAATGCTGCCAGTATGGATATATTTTTAAAGCTGTTGTCTCTTCTTAACAGCATCAAGTATACATTCCTTCTCTTAGTCAGCATTCTTGTTGTGGATCCTGCATAAATGTGTCATGTACTTTCCATACTGGTAATGGAACCATCATCATATATGAAGTAAGTTCCTCTGAAACAACTGCAGAAAATAAACAGGATTTTGATCACACAAACCTTGTTTATAGCATCTTTAGATCCTGTATGTTGCTTCTTATATTCATTCGGATCTTAAGGTGACCTAAGCTGTTTTATATATTCAATAAGCCTTTATCCAAAGGGGTATTATTGGAGGCCAGAAAACATTGGGCCACCTATACACATTTAAGTTGAATCCATTGATCATGAGGAGGAGGGGGAGGAGGGGAAAACAGAGCTCAGACCAATCTGCTCCATTCCCCATATCAATTTCTCCTTTTTGGTTAGGGATATGAATTTGTCTAATCCTTTTCAAAAGCTATCTCTGGGTTTTATGTTGGCTTAATTTGTACAAAATGAATCTGTAGAATCCTGTTTTATTGAGCACAAGTGCTGTACATCTGCATACAGCGTGTTTACTACAGCACAGCTCTTTCCACTTGTGTGATTGGATAACTGAATCATTGTTTGTCCTGAAGGTCAGCTTGTTAGGAGCAACAGGCCAGGTTCCCTAGTTTAGATGACAAGCTAAATATTTCTGGTTACACTTGCAGGGGAGCCAAGCTGGAGTGAATGGAGTCCATGCATCAGCATGCAGCTCAGTCATAATAAGCTTGGATTCATCAGAATCCTGTCTAAGTATTCCATATGAACATGAGTATCATATGCAAATGTATGGAACCAAATCTTCATGGTTGCTTGTATTTGGAAAAAACAGGTTGAGGAAGGGTGGATTTTAATGAGAAATTAGCAGCAAGTGGGAAAAGAGGGAGCTTAGTCTGCCTTTCCTCCACAATACTAAAGTGCTTTCCCCCTCCAATGGGAATGTTTAAGGCTGATAAGGCGGCAAACATGAATTCTAAGATGGCAAGCCTAGAAATAAAGGGAAAATGAATATGGTATAGGATCTAAGCATAACAACTCCAGGAACCTTCATTTATCTTGGTCCCAAACTGTTTAAAATTATGGTCCAGGCCTTGATATGACTTTTATTCTGCCTTCCCTCAAGAGTGTTTTCACTATTCATGTGAGCTAACAATGGGCATTGTGAAAAAAGATCCTGTTTTAATACGCTGGTTCATAAGCAGTAGTGAAACCAAAGGTTCCTATTTGAGATGCCACAGGAAATAGTGGTTTAGCAAGCTAAAATAGTAGCACCAACATTGTTACATCTAAACTTGGTTGACCATTGCACATTGGCTGCAAACCATTTATTGTATAAAAATTATGGTTTGTAAGGTCATGGTCTGAAGTGGGCATACAAACGATGGTTTATGTTAACCATGGTTAAGAGTTACATTAGAACACTTTAGAACACTTAAAGTTTATATGGTTTACATGGTTAAACTGAATCCCCACCTGCCTGATAGCAAGGTAACAAACAGGATCTGGATCAGACCAGTGGCATATCTAGTCCATCTTTCTGTTCCCCTGGTAGCCAAGCAAATGCCCATAAGAGGACCACAAGTAGGTCACTGGCATTCTCTCACTCAGATTCCTAACAGCTGGTATTGATACTCATGCTGCCTCAGATGCATAGCTATCATGATTAATAAGCATGGCATCTGGTGTCTTGTTATGTCTTCCAGGAGCAGAGCTCCATCCCATAAGTTAAATTCTGGTTATATTTTCAGACCTTCTCTTACATGAGTTATTTATTATGGTAGACATGTTGTGAGCTAGAGCCAGGGGTCAGACTAGATGACCTGGGAGACCCCTTCTGACTTGCTCTGTTTCTGTGTTTATTCTATACTCACAATCTTTTATTCACAGAATTTTGTGGGACCTTTTCATGGCAGTGTCATTCTTCAGAGCCTTGCCTGTATTTTTCAGTAATTTTCTTTGCTTGCTTGCTTGCTTATTTATTTATTTTAGAGTGAGGAAAGTCTTGGTATTTCCTAGACATTCCTGCTATTTGCTACAGAAGCCTAGTAGGATTGCACACTATATCATAGTAACACCTTGTGCTATGTATGGAGAAAAACCTCAAGCGATACTGTAATCCTTCCACAAAGAAAAGAGAAGTAGTAGTCTTGGTAAAGTGCCAGGTTATATGCTTTTGTTTGAGAACTTAACTAGCATTAAGTTAATAACTTAATATTAACTTAAAACAATTAAGAGTGTTCATAGGAGTTGCCCCTTTTGTAAACCATGTACTATGAAAAATGCACTAGATTAGCATTGTTACTACAGTGAAAATAGTTAAACAGAGACTCTCGTAAAAAATGAATAGCAGGTGGTATAATTTTATTGTCATGGAAATCTAATGTGCAGATCTAGTGAATATTTATGCCATCTTTTAACCAGTTATTTCCCCCTGCTTCCCAAAAAGAATAATCTTATCTCTCTCTTCCTTTTCTTTCTCTCCTTCTGTTTTAGGAAGGAAGCTCATGGGAGTTTAACTGCACTAAATATCAGTGTGCAAAGACCGCTGTAGGTGCAATCGTCCTTGGATCCAGCCTCACTTGCCCACCCTTTAATGAGACTGAGTGTACAAAGGTTGGTGTCCGTAAGTGAGAAAATAAAGGAAGATTTTTGTCTGGAAATTTGACAACCAATTAGAACAGTGCAATGCTGTGAAAAAATCCACTGTTGCTTTTCATTATTTTCTTCAAATGAGCAGTATTGAATATTAGAGACACTAGTAGATCAGGAGATGCTACTAATTTCTATATCAGGTTGAAGGTACTATATACAAACAGCATACTATGTGGCCAGCTCTATGGATCTGAAAGCTGTGGTTCAGTTTAAATGCTTTCCACAGAATTCATCAAAACATTGTACATGTATTTCCCAGTGTAGTCTTGCATGAACTGAATTGTTCTTGCATGACATTGGATCTTAGCCTAGTTTCTCCCATCTGTAAACCTGAAATATTTAGAATCAATTATACAATTTCCTCACAGATAGCTTTCAGTATGAATTTGGGGCTACCCAATGAGCACCAAATGTAAGAAGAGCCAGTTCCACAAACCAAACCAAACCATCTGAAAGACAAGTAATAAAAACTGGGTTTTCAAATAGAAATATACAAACAAAGATAATCAGAAGGGGTCCCTCAGGCTGTATAGTCTGACCCCTCGCTCCAGGCAGCTGCACTCATGTAATCTTCAATATATGATTGTCCGATCTTTCCTTGAGTGCCCTCACTGATGGGGCCTCCACAACCTTTTGTGGAAACCCATTCCATATCCTAGAACCATGAGGAAGTAGTTCCTGGCACCCTTCCTGAAGCCTAGTTCCTTTAGCTTTGCTCCATTGGAACACATCCTGCCCTGCACTACAGGGAAGAACACATTGCAGCCCTCCTCCACATGACATCCCCTCACATGCTAAAGGATCTCCTCTCCTCTCCTCTCCTCTCCTCTCCTCTCCTCTCCTCTCCTCCAGCTGAAAAAACCCAGTTCCCTCAATCTCTCCTCCTATGATTGGATATGTATGGCCAAGCACTGAGAAACTAAGCACAGAGCAAGACAGCTGGAGCCATCACTGCTGCATTGTCCTCAGTGACCCTGAGCACTACACCTATGTTGCAGCACGGTGGAACTCAGAGGTATTCAGAGGAAGTGGCTGCCCTGTGCTTCTTTTCTCAGGGAGTACCAACTGGCTGGAACTGTGCTGCTGCCAGGCCCTCCTGTGGGACACACACCTTTCCCCTCCTGGTAAGCTTGCTTTGAGAGATGGACAGAAGATACCTTGTCGAGGTCCCTCTCAAACCTGGTGCTGGCCTGATTATATGATGGAGTCCTGTGCAGTAATGCTTTTCAAAGTTTTAAAAAGTAGTTTAAATCTCAACCCAAACATGGCAGCCATTTGCATTTAGCCATAAAATCTAAGAGTAAAACTGTAGCTTATGCCACACCAAACAAGTTTTGGCTAGCTTTTTTATACAAAGGGGAAGTATGCTGCATTGTATCTTATAATGCTAGCTGCTGGCTGGAGATGAAGATTATGAGATCCAGGCTGAATTTTCCCAAAACATAAAATACATGTTAATACCCACATAAATACATGAATTGGCTGTGGATTAGGCTGCATCTGCTGTTTCTTTTTTACATGCATCATTTGGATATTGTAAGATATTTCTTTGGGCACAGTCTTTTTTGAAATATCCCTTTTTAATTTTCCTAGAATGGAGGCACTGTACAGACATATAACGATGGCTGCTGCAAGACCTGTAAGTGAAGAAAGCTGCATTCAGTGCTAGTTGCGTGCTAGTTTGGCTTTGTTTTGGATAGCTGTGTGTGTTTTTAACCCCTTCAGTGGGACATTTGGAAAGAAAAAGCATGCTGTCCCCCAAATCATGTATAATTCTTAACAAAAGTCATTGCCAAGCCCTGCTTTATATGGCTGCTACCATGGTGATTCTTAAAACTTTTTTTTTTAATTAAAAATCTTTTCCTTCTGGAGTATAACCACATCTCTCCAAATATAGTATGGGCATAAGCAAAAGCTACTTTGTTTTGTTTTATTCTAAACAAGTGAAGTTATTTGATTACCAAGACCGTTAGAGCAACACTTGCATATATTTTCAAAGGAAAAGTTCAAAAACTTGGATAATATAATGTGAAGGCAGTTATAGGATTTTCTGTTATATATTCTATAGGATAAATATTTTTTCTCTTCAAGTAACTAAATCTAAGAAGATGCTTCAATGAGCAAATTAGTTTGAAGGATTAAGGATTTATTTCATGTAGAATAGACAATTGCACTTTTAATAAATTCTGTGTCAAATTCCAATGTGCACATTGGCACACATACCAATTATCATTAATATATGGCATATTATACCTGGAGTTATAGTGTTATAAAGCACACTAAACAGGTTCAGAAATGTCTTCCAGAACAGGAAAGGATTTTTCACTTTTAGAATACCAATAACAACATCAACCAACAACAGTTAATTCCATCCTAGGCTTATTTTCCAGTGGCTTAAACATATGAAAAACATGCTGGTTCATGGGGTTTTAATTAGTATAGGATGGTTTTTAAATGAGGGACTGGAAAATGTTTAGCTAAGAAGGAATTAAGAAAGCACACAAAATTGTGCATCAAATACAGCTTTAAGAGAAAACTGAAGAAAGAAGTAGTCAGTCACACTGAATGGTAGCTCTCAGTACATTTTTTTTGGGTGGGGGGATACTCTTTATCAAGAGAGATGAATTTACATTGATATTCCTTGGAGTAACTTTCATGCTGCAAACTTTTAAAATGAACTGAAGTGTAATCAGTCTAGCAGGCTATATATCTGATTATCTCCTTCAACACCTGCTTCTCATGTTTTTCAAAACATATTGGAACTACAAATATATACAGCTGTCATTTTTATTTCTAATGTGAATGGAAAGTATTTCTTGCTCATGCTAGGAAGAATCTCTGATTTATGGTGAATTTTACACTCACACACACACAGGAATGTAAATAAGTAAATAAACTTCTCTACTGTCCAAAAGCTGAAGTTCTCTGGGAAGTCTACCACAATTCCTAGTTGGACCATAATGCAATAACAAAACTTTCACCCTATTAAAAACTAGTTAATATAAAGCTAACAGTTGCATTTTCAACAGCCTTTTAAAATAGTTAACAGTTACAATTTTTCGAAAATAGTTAACAGTTGCTTTTTGGGGAGTACAAGGGGAATACAGGGGGGAGGATAATGTAGGAAAGCTCTTCTGTGCAAGCTGACTAGCTTTCATATATCTGAATCTGCTCTCTCATTCTTTGAGAATATGTAAGACACATTTTTAATCATTCTGAGTGATTCAGTATGCATAAACATCCATACATTCAACAACATACAGCAATATGTATTTCCATATTCTGTACACACATGCCACAATATGAAATAATTTTCAGTCTTCCACAAATGGAAGAGCTTCTTGTCTCCATGGAAGAGACTGAAATGCAGCAGATCTTATACAGAAGTGAGGGACATAGGGTGTTGCTGAGGGAAGGAAAAATAGGTGGAAATTGTCTCTCGCCCTTTCTCCAGCAGGAACATTCTTTGGATATATGCAATGTGGCTGACTTGCTCTCTCTCTCAAACATGTGTGCACACGCATGCACACACACACACTACACACTACACACACACACTAACATAGTATCTTAGTATGTCTAATAGATTTCTATGTATTAGATATACTAACATAATATTTTATGTTACCTTTTCCTTTCAAATACTGCTTGACATCATATACCTGCATATATCATGGCTAAAACCTAAAGCTTTAACTAAAGAGATTAGTATTTTGAACCATATTTAAGGGGAAGTATTTCACTTAGATAAACAAAGTTAATATCTCACCGAAGCCATATCTTTTCATTCCCTGTTTATTCATATAAAGCGGACTTTCTGTAAAATCAGGATATTTAATATAAATAGATATAAGTATCTCCCATTTAGTGTAGTTATATAGCTTTCACAATATTATATAGGCTTAGGAAGTGCATTGTTATACTTCAGAACTTATTGCTGAGATGGCTTCTAAGAAAAAAATATATAATGCAATTAAATGCTGTTTTACATGCTAATAGAGAATGTTTCTGAAAACTAAAAGCATGTGCTTTCATGGTATGTTAAAGCAGTTTAAAGTCAGCTAAAGGTTTAGCTTGCAACTCCTTGGGTTTTAATGGGAACTAATAATCTTAATTTTAAAAGATTGATTAAATGCATGCTAAGTGAGTTTGTTTGTTTAATTCTTACCTTGCCAGTCTTAAGAAGCACATAGAATGTGCTCCTTTGTGTAAACATCATAGCATTGTTATCCACAAAAGTATGCAAGCATAGGATTATCAAAAAATTAAAAAATAGGAAGACTTATTCCTTTTTACAAAATGTGCAATTGCAGATGGCAGCGTAAGAATTAATACAATGTTGTGTATGTCAAAATGTTTTAATATTACAAGAAACTTATATTCCCAATAATTCTGCCAGGTTCTGGACGGGGTGTATTCCCCTTTGCCATTAGCCCCATAGTCTCTACTGATAGTATTAATTGTGAACCAGGTATTATTATTTTTAATAATGTATTTTCTTTCTTTTAAAAACGTTTTACATATTTTTGCATTGTTAATATTCTTTCTGCTATGAAGTTCATGCAGGTGTCCTTATGCAACTCAGGCTTGGTTGTTAGTCTTCAAAGTGACTAGGTGACTTTAAGCATATACTGAGAGGTTTTTTTTGAAAGTGGACTAGAATTCCTTGCAGAATCAACTGTTTAGGTTCATAAAGTATAGAAGGCATAATCTCAGGGCCAGTGTCAAGGATATGGCTATGCACTTGCTGAGAGGACACAGTCCAGCAGGTGCTCACCATTACGAGTCTCCTTGACTTCTCCTTTTCACCATTATTATGGTTTTTCACCTGCCTCTAACACAGTGGTGGAAAGGAGGAGCAGTAGATGCCACTGCCTAGTTGCTCTCTGGTGTTCTGTTCATTAAGCAAGCCAATTGTGCCAAAGGCTACAGAGAGGATGAGGAGCAATAGTAGTGAGAAGGTAGCTTCACTGAGGGTGGAGGGACTGTTGATAGGGAGTGTCTTGTCCAGGGAATCTCAGAATCTGGATCCAAGACTGATTCCTTTTTTCCATTGAGAGGATCACTTCACAGTGATGACTGGTGCCACAGCATGGCAAGCAGTAATGAAATTGTGACTGAAGAAGAGATGGTGCCTTTGTTGGTGGGAGTTGTGACATGAAGGATGCATGGAAGCTGTGAATGCACGCAGTTTCCTGCATCCCAGATTGGTTGCCATATGCTGAGTTGGCACATGGGATAACCTGTGCATGGGCTTAATTTATTTTCTACATGGAAGTATGTATGAAGTGGTCTTATATATAAATTAAGTTTCCAGCCCAGTATATATTTCTGGAAAATATAATGTGCAGTAGAGCTTCCAGTGAGAACAAGAAAATGCACAGAATTACTGTATTTTTCCATGTATAAGATGCTACTTTTTCTTAAAAACATTTACTCAAAAATGAAGGTGTGTCTTATACATGGGGGGCTGCAGGTGCGCTGGGGGGAGGGAGACTGGTGCACAGGTGGGGAGGCGGTGAGCATGTGTGCGCAGGTGGAGGGGTGGCGAAGCGGCACATGCGTGCACAGCAGCAGTTTGTTCACTGGAGATGGGTAGGAAAAGTGGGGGGCGTTCTACACATGGGGGCATCTTATAGATGGAAAAATATGGTAAGTATATTCAGTGCTATATAAAACTGAAGCAATCAGATATATCTTGTTTGATGGGAGCAGGATAAGCATATTAGTCATAGTCTGAAAAATAGTAATTACTCTGAATTACAATTTTAGAGCATCAGTCAACACTCTGAATCAGTTGACCAAAACTTTGATTTAGTTCAGTGGGACCAAAGCTTTTCCTTCTTAGCAATGCATAATTTATGCCCAATTTGATCTCAACATACCCATGTTTAACTTAAGAACAGACTCTTGTCCATATTACAATTTTAGATGGCATTTAGGAACACTCTTATGAGTTTAAAACATAAAATGCCTCAATCCAGGAAGGGTTATCTATACAGAAAAACAGGATTATGCGCATAGATCACCCTGCTTGATTCTGCATATACAACATATATAGTGCATTAAAAACCATCAAGTAACTGGAACAGCATCTGTAAACCACCTTGCTGGAGTGGAACAGTATGTATCTTTAGGAGAATATTACACAGGGCCTCCAGCATCTATCTTTAGTTTAGACCACTGTTCATTTTGGTAATTTGGGCCTAATAGCCACTAGTTATGTGATATTTAATTAGTACTCCAACAAGCTTTGTATCTGATTTAAAAAATCTCTTATGATGTCCATTTGAAGACTAGTACTATTGTTGGTGCCTTAGAATATTCTGCTTTTGTCAACACTTCTTTCCTGCCCATGGATACAATTTTTAGAGGAGTGTCAAAAACAGCAGAGTAGCATTAGTGTCTTTTATTATTGCTATGACATCTGTTGTATCTGTTTTGTATATGGGATATACAAAAGTTGCTTATCTCCTGTGGCCCCTGTGTGTTGGGACTTCTGTTGTTTTGTTTAATGTTTCTCTTCTGGTGTCTTTATCTTCCAGATAATTGGGGTGGGGTTGAACTACCAGATTCTTCAGTATTATATTTTTATATTCATGTAGCTACCTTGATAACCATGTCTTGGGAACAAAATGTGTAAGAGAATGATCCACATCTCTCTACAAGATTATCTGCTTTTGAGCACCAGACCCAGCTTGTAGGGTTTCCATGCATCTGGGAATATGAAAAAGCCTACGGATCTTATGCTGTCCCATCTTATGCATGAACTGAGTCCAATGTGCATCGTTTCTATGTGATCTGTGTGCTGCAAAAGATAAAAAAGGTGGTGGTGGTAGGATTATCATGTGAGCAAGGCAGGGGCTTGGGCCATTTTCACACAGAAATGCCTGTGTGTGGCTTCTAAATCACAGTGCATCTCTTAGTTTTCAGTGAATGCTATTTATTGTAACCAAGTACCACCACCACATGGAGGTTGTCATATAGACACAGCTGTGCATAGGCACAATCATCAGGTTTGTGTGTGCATTCCACCTCATATGAAAACTGCTCATTGGTTTGTGTGAACTCAGAGTTTTAATAAGTGAAATGCATGCAATACCTGTTGTATTCAGCAGGAAATACCATATTGCATTCTACTTTTTGATTTTCATAATGTGGGTTTAAACTTCCAATGTTATTTCCTTTGACTTTAAATACTAAACGACAATCACATGTTTACTCTTGAATAATCTGTCTATAGTCTGTGAAAATGGGAGTGTCATAGCTGTATATATGTGCGGCAATTGTGAAGTATAGAATGTTTCCCCTCATCCACACACAGTGAATGTTACTATCATGCAAACTAATGGTGAAGACTGTACTCAAGGAATTGAAATAATGGTAATTGGTAAATAAATTGAGGCCATGATCTACAGGGCCATGAGATAAACTCTATAGATGTTATAGAACTTAAGAGTTCTCAGCTTTAGAAAATGCTTTATCACCTGACTTGCAGACCTTGACAGAACTACTAGATTGGTGTGTAAGCAGAACCAGCACAATGGGAAATGCAGAGAAGGCTGAGACAAGACATCTTGGTGAATGTCTAGAAGTTCTGACTCACAGCCAAAGGGCTCTTTAGGTCATGGCCTAGTGAGCATTACCTGGAACATTATCTTCATACCCTAACAATTACGAATAAATGAATGAATAATGGCTATTTTATATTTCTTCAGGCAAAAGAGATGAAAGGATTTGCCAGAAAGTGACAGTTCGAACAACTATAAGAAAACATGACTGTATAAGTAGAAGTCCTGTAAGTTCAAAATCTTGCTCCCCTTTCACACATGTTTGGTACAACTGCACTTAGACTAGTGTGTTCAGTTTTGGCTGCATTACCTGGAAAAGGATATTATTGAGTTGGAAAAAGTATAGAGAAGGGCTGGATAACTCCACTATGAGGAGCAGCTACATCAACTGGTACTGTTTAGCTTAGAAAAATGGTGAGTAAGGGGAGACATGATGGAAGTGCTTAAAATGATGTTGAGATTTTCTTCCTCTCCCCTAACACTAGAGCCCAAGGTCAGGAAGCTGATTGGTGGGAGGTTTAGGACAGGTAAAAGGAAGTACCGCTTCACATAATGTATAACTAAATTGTGGAATTCACTGCCATGGGAAGTGGTGATGGCAACCAATCTGAATGGATTTAAAAGGGATTTGGACAGATTCATGAGGAAGGAGGCTATCTATGGCTACTAGCCTTGGTGGCTATGAGCTTTCTCCATTACCAGAGGTAGCATGCCTGCTTACCCAAGTTGCTGAGGAGCTTGGGCAGGAGGAGATCTTGGAATCATCCTGCTTGAGTGATCCTGTGGGCAGCTGATTTGCCACTGTGTGTGTACAGAGTACTGGACTAGATGGACCTTGGATATGATCCAGCATGGCTTTTTTATGTTCTTAGGTTTTAACAAGTAGATTTTTTTTCTTGTACTTCTTAGGACTTAGTTAGATCATAAAACATACCAACCATTAAATTATGCTTGTAAAAATGTGTGAAACAAATGCTCAAAATTGACCCTACTACTTCCTTGACATCTGGAGGATTTCTCACCCTGGCAATGTCCTCCTACTCCTATGTGCATTTACAATTTAATTACTTCTAAAATAACATTAAAAGGGCTGACCTCTTCAGAATAACTCCAGATGCACTGCATACAAGATAATTGCCTGACCAGATGAAAACACTGGCTTTGTAGATCATTAAATATTCTCCTACTCTAAATCAAAAGTGCCAGTGCATAAAAAAATACATGTGAGTCATTTCTTTGAAAAACTCTCTGATCTGTGACATCACCCAATATATATACTTTTGACTAAATTCAATTTAGGAGAATTAAAGTATAATATCACTTTTGGTTTGTAAGATGTAAGATATAAATACATTGTATACAGATATATGCATATATGACTGAACAAACATTTCTATATGTTTATGTAGAAATCTCTTTTTTATTACAGTAACACATTTTGCATTACAGCTGTTACATACTGCTGTTATGCTGATAAGAACAAACATTAAGGTTAGGACTGGATTAAAACATACTTTGATATTTGACACTGTTACAGCAGATTTTTATTTGCTCTATTCCAAAATGTCTGGCAAATTTGACAGGCAAATGGAGCTGCAGGCAAGGCTCCTGGGACTTGATCGTCATCCATACTTGCCTTTGGGAACTACTTTAGCTAATGGGATAAGTGATAAATAGAGACTGTTCCATGTTAGGCTGTCAGCTTTCTTTCCAATCCTTCCTGTTTGTCCTAAAAGTGAGTGCTTGTTTTTGCCTTTGGGCAAGAGTTGCAAGTAAGTAAATTTTGGGCATTTTTTCCCCTCTAAAACTTCTTTTTTGGGGCAGGGAGTTGCTAACCCCACTGCCCGGTTTCTCTATTCTTCAAACAAGCTAGTAACCTAGAAATGGCTTTTCCTATGCCAGAAACATTCTTGTGGAGCTACCTTAGATGACATATGCTCAGTGGACATTTGCTAAAAGAATAGATTTATAAATTGCTTCTTATATTGTGATGACGTATACATCCTTTTTTCGAACTAGATAATATTTGATGTGAGGAATGACATTTTTCCCCCTTTCTCTGATAGATCAATGTAGCTTCTTGTGATGGAAAATGTCCCTCTGCTACAATTTTTAATGTCAACATTGATAGCCATTTAAGATTCTGCAAATGCTGTCGGGAAAATGGAGTGCAAAATCTAACTGTGCCACTCTACTGCTCAGGAAATGGCACTGACATCATGTATGTCATCCAGGAGCCTACAGATTGTTCATGCCAATGGAACTGAGACTGTATGATTATGTCCGAGTACTGCATTCATCAGGATTATATGTGCATTAATATGTTCAGATTCAATAAATATCCTATTAATATATACAGATTTTTCATGTTTTAGACAAATATTGAAAATTGATGGTGTTGGGTTTTTGAACAATTCAGCAAAACATGTATATGTTGGCTACATAAGTTTTTGTATGGTAATCTTTTTTGCTTCAGATAAGTGAATTAAACAGCTCATGGTAACTGATGTTTATACTATATACTTGTTCCAGAATTATTATAACTGAAAATCTTTGTAGCTTGTTAATTCTTCCAGTGGCATCTTTCAGTCACACTTCAAATGTAACCCACTGTACAATGCAATGCTTGTAATATTTTATTGATCACTTTTAAAATGCAAGACATGCCAGTGTTCCCTTTTTCTGTGCTGTTTGGTTTAGAAAAAGCAAGCAAAGTCCCAGCATACTTTACATCTTTGTATTCTTTTTGTCAACCTCAAATGTACCTATGGAAAGGGCTAATAAACCACCTTTGACATTAGTTTACATCTATGTAGAGGCAGTTTCTATTTTCTATAGTTCCCTTGCATTATAAGGTAATATATAATACTATGAAAATATATGTTCTTCTGTTAAAGAGAAAGACACCTGTACTTTGTTGTTGCCACCTTTGTGATTGAAATGATTTAATTTTATTTTGACATTATTCTGGTGGAAAAATTGTATTATTATAAAGATATAAGCAATTCTGCAATATACACAGAACAGCTTTGGAATTATATATGCAAATCCTATTCAGGCTGCTGTAATTGTCCTGTGCCGGTGTCCCCCCCCCCCCCCCCCCCCCCCCCTTCTTCCAAGAGATCAAGAGAAAAGTCTTTCTAACTAAAGTCTTTATTATGTTAAAGCTGACCAGCTAGGCTAGTTTTGTGATACACTATAAATTTCCTTGTGTCTTTTGTTACTGATTTCTGTATTAGACACAAGGAAATTTATAATGCTGACTGTTAGGGAAATGCAGTTAAATGAGATGAAGTTGATTCCAAGCTGAATATCACTTCCAGACCAAAACTTGCTGACTCCACTTGCAGATGGAGCCTGCTGTTTTTGCATCAAGTGCTTGGAACACCTCAGTTGGTCGACTGTGTACCCTGATGCCATATTATTTGAGTAATGATGTTAAGCCCACCCCACCCATCCCAGCTTACTTATTAGGATTTCCTACTGAACTTGAAACTGTCTTGTTCTTAGCTTATCTCAAGAAAGCATTGCTTTCAGAGTTTTGGTTGTGAATTCCAACCTCTCACATCCTCCACTTCAGAATCAGAATCTGAGTCAGCCACCTTTGAGGTCTGTGTTATAGGAGGACTGGGGTCAATTCCTATAGTAACATTGGAATATTGGAAGGAATGATGGAAAGAATGGAAGGAATATTAAAAGGAATAATGAAAACATTGTGCACTGTAAATATCACAATCAAGCAGCATTTCAGGAGACTTAGTACAATAAATAGAATATAATGCACCTTGGTATTTTCTTTGCATTTATAAGTTTTAATATAGGGCTTGGTATTTATTTGAAGATTTACAAATGAACAATATTCTAATCAAAATCTTAGTGCAGCCATGTGGAAAAGTTGTATTGTATCAGACCATGCATGATAAAACTGTTATTTGCATTGAGGTGGAAAGTTAATTGGGACAAACCATGTGAACCATGAACTGTACAAAACCATTCATGCTAAGCTTTCAGAAGGATGGCTTCTAACACTGCTAGTTAACAGGGAGTGTGCAGACGGCTTGTCTTTCTATACTTAACTGATTTTTTCTGGTATGAGATATATGGAAGCACTGGGAAAACTGGAGAATGATGAATGAAGACAGCATCATCTGCACCTCCTGTAAAATTCTGTGAATGATGCAAGGTGGTGATGTAATAAAAGCCTTGTTTGGAATTATACCTCACATTCCTAGATATAAATATGCTAGTATGAACACATCTTGAGAATTGTGATGTCCTACTGAATTGATAACCTTATGCTGCTGCATCTAAACATAAAGTCTTAATTACATATGACATTGTCAATAAATAAATTTATAAGAAAAACCACCAAGTCACCAGAGTTACTGTAAATTATTGGCATATAGAGCTAGGAATGTTGCAAAGTTTTAAGAAGGATTGTTTTTAAGGGTGAGCGTGCCTTTATTATTTTAGAACTTTCCGGGTTTTGTGAATATGCAGTATATGCAAATATGAGCAATGAAGCCTGCCCCCTTCCCTCAATTACTCTGTTTACTGAAGAATAGTAGCTTCAGTCGGGATGTACATTGAGGGAGGAAAGTGTGGCAGAACACTACCTGCTGGTCAGTTTTACACTTATCAAATTCCAAGCTATTTTTCCTGTAGGATTTGTATGCATGTATTTGGATGGAAAGTCAATTGGAAATCAGCTAAGAGGGGAAATATAGTTGGCACAGAAAATGTTGAGCAACCCCTTCCCACCTGCTGCTTCTCCATTCAAAATGCATCATTCCAAAGCAACTTTGGGAAAAGTGTCCAGCAAGACTGCATAACACAAACTTTTGTGTAATGAGTAATTTTTATCCCTGGTTTTATCTTGTAAATTAGCACCACTCAGCATTCCCTAGAAACAGTTTATGAAATGAAAATATTTTCATTTAAGGAGTATCCATTTAATTAAAAGAGAGTATGCTATACCCAAACAAAGCTCAGTTGCTTTGCCTTTAAGAAGCATTTTTGTTGATTGCCCTATTTAAAAACACTCATTAAAAGCTGAGGGTTGCAAGCATGTTTTGTCAAAGGTCACAGGGTAACTTAGTATCACCAGGGTTTAACTAGATAGTCAGTGAAGGCCTGGCACAAGTAAATTGTAGCATCTTTGTATTAGTTTCACTTATCTGATAACCAGTCTAGTGGAGGTTGGGTGAACAAAAAGCTTTGCTGCTCAGGAAAAAACAACCCCAGAGCCCATTTATCTTTCAAAACAGCCAGCAAAATGGACTACTTACACTCTCAAGTGCTGCGAGTGAGCTATGGAGAAATACAAACCATTGAATTATGATGATAGAAATATTAATAATGGATGATTTAAGGTTTAAGGTTGCAGTCCTGCTCCCACATTCCTGAGAGTAATCCCCACTGGACTTAATGGGACTTATTTGAATAGACAGGAAGAACTAGGGGGTGTGTAAAGTTGAAAGTAACTGTATCGATCATCTAATTCAGCACCAGCTAGAAATACAAGTGAAAAAATTCTACGCATGAATGAGGATAAAATATTTCATTCCATAACTTAAGCACAATCTTGATCATACCTGGAGTGTATGCACCAAATAGATAACAACTGTTACTGAACTGCACTAAAAAATAAGCCTGTGTTTTAAGAGCATCTAGAAACTTTAAACAGTGCGAAGTGCAGCAGCTGGGCTGTTAACCTGGGCATGTTTAGAATATCCTCTGCTAAACCAAGCAAGCATCAGTTGAAACCTAATTGTCAACTGGCCTATCAGAGACAGTTAGAATTTGAATTCGTTGCTAGGCAGAACCTGTGCCTTGACTACACCAAGAACTTGGCTACTTCCTTTGTATCTTACCAGATTCTACAAGTCTGTCTAACACTTTCATGGACAGTCAGCTCAAAACTCTCACTGCATAGCTGACATCCCTGTTGCATACCCCAACAAACCAAAGGGTCCAAACACATACAGAGGGAAGGGAATGCTCCTTTAGATACTCTGGTCCAAAACCGTTTAGGACTTTAAAAGGCAGCGACTCCAACAACTTTGAATTTGTTTCCAAAATGGACTGGCAACCAGTGCAGCTGATGAAGCACTGACGTCACAGGAACATACCAGTCAGTCCATTCATAACCGACCAGCCTTGTTTTGACCAACCTGAATTTTCTTAACTGTCTTCATTGGTAACCCTGTGTACAATCCATTGTAGCAATTCAATCAGGAGGTTATGAGAGTGCAGATAACTGCTGCTAGTCTATTTCTGTCCTCTTTGGGTCACATCTGGTTTACTGACCTTAGCTGATAAAGTCATCTGGCCTTCAAGACTACTTTGGCCTCAAGTGAAATTGATGGATCCAGAAATGCTCCCAAACTGCCTTCCTGATTTTTCAGGGAAATGCAACCTTTTCCAGGACAGGTTGAACACTACTCACCTGGACAAATAAACCACCTGCTAACAGATACCTCCATCTTTCTCAGTGGAGCTTGTTTCTTGGCCCTCACTGAGTCCATGACAGGGCTCAGGTACCAATTCAGGAAGTTTACTGTCTCAGTTTGGTTTGAAGAAAAGGAGAATTATACTTTTCATCTTCTTTCTCTACCAAACTGTGGTGTTGTAGAGAATTGCAGGTGACTCTATAGCCAGATGCTCCATGCTTAAAACTAATTTCCTAGCTTTCACACATTGTCAGTGAAGGTCTTGCAGCCCTTCCACCTCTTATAGGCAAATTGAGGACACACAAGTCTGTACCTTTCCTTTGAAAAGTTTCCTTAAATTTATTTGAAAAGAATGGGTTTTGAACTTGAATTTGCTTTCCTAGATGGCACACTAGAACTGTTCTGCACCTGCTTGGAACCTCCAGTATGAAACTTCATTTGGTCACTTGTACGGGATGAACTAAAACAATGGCAAGAACGCTTGGTGGCAATAAGGAACAGTCAGCTTAAGGTGCAATTCTGTGCATTTGTAAACAGGAAAAAAATCCTGTGAGTTGTAAGATTTTTAATGCCCCAACGTGCACAGGATCATATCTTTATTTTTTTAAATGCTTTTAACTTTTCAAGAACTTTCTGTGATTTGTAATCTTTTAAAACCCCTTTTGATCATTGCTGTTCAGATCTCTCAAATTGCAGGGTGGGATTCTGATGCAATTCTAAGGTGCGCCCAAAGAGATCTGGTCTTGCACAAGCAATGGTGACTTCAGAACCAGGGCTGCAAGAAGAGGAGCAAATCAGCCACAGGCTGGGGCCACGCCGCCCCCTTTAACGCCCTCGGCTGACCTCCTCTCGGCTC